CAATCATCTATTGTGAAATCTTTTAAATCCATCAAATATATAATTATTACCTCAATCATACCTTTCTTTCTATCTAACAAAAATATGAACTAGCTTTGATCACAAAGTGCAATTCATAATTTCTATAAAAATCATATTGAACTTTTATCATTCTCCACACTAACTTTGGTTGTTTGTTGACCACCACCAACTAAAGGAGCATTATATCCTTTAATATTTGGTGTGGTTAATGCCCTTTTGAAATGAATTCCATCCAACCAAAATAAAAGTCTATAGTACTAAAAGCTATATAGAGATATTCCATATGCAATAAACAACTACTTAAAGCATTCATCATCTTTCTTCTGCAAGAAGGTGTAATTGCCAAAATTACTTGTGATAAGTATTTGACAGTAAGCTATAAGTTTAGTATATGATCACCCTATGAATCTTTTAAGTAAGTTTTTCTTTCCCTCACTATTCTTATTCTTTAAATGTATGGCTTCATTATATTTATGATTGTTCATGAATATTTGGATAGAGCAAGTTGGGTCTTTCTACAATATTAAAGCATAAAGCCTCTAAGAATAATTTTTATTTTTATAATATCTTTTATTATCAAAGAGGTCAAAGTGCTTATAAATAGTCTTTTGCTTCACTACCTTCTAAATTTCCTTCATTGAGTCAAAATAGTATAAATGTTATCACCCATAAAAACCCAAATCTGCCTTAATCCCAATTGAAAAAGAATATTTGAGATTTTTCTATTTAAAAGTTGCTAGGATGGATATTCTAGGATATTATACCAGTTATTCATTTAGATTAATCTTTTATTTACAATTTATAAGTCTGTTTATAATTTAAAAACTTTTCTGAATACTTCCTAGCATATTCTAATTTATTATAACATCTAATGGTTGATATTCAATAAGATTAATTTTGTGTTTATAAATTATAAACTTACATTTGATCAATTGGATTAATAAATAGGAATAAAACTACTATTAAGCAAACCAAGCATTCCTGCATGAAACATACAGCAAATTATTGTAATTTTAACTTCCAAGGATGTTTTATAAATTCTTAATCTTTTAGGAGTATTTTTGTAATTTTTTCTAGCAGAGATTTGCCATAATGTCACATGTGCTGCCATATCAAATTATCTTTTTTGAAAGAAAGAAGCAATGAAATGAAAAAATATTTTACAACAAAGCTACAGAAGAATTAAAATGATCTATATAAGATTTGAAAAACAAATAAACAAGCTATAGAATAATTAGAGATTAAAATGAAGATTGATAAATATTTTATTATTTAAATTTAAATTTGTGACCAACCAAAGAGAATAATTGAGAATGGAGTTCAAATATTAAAGGAATAGTTCTATAAAAGAAAGTACACCTTTATTTTAATTAGTTAAAATAGTTAAAAGTTAAATGTTCTTAAGTTTGAATGGTACTAACCTTGACCTTTAACCTTTCTAGAAGCTCAAATCAAAGAGAGCTTATAAAATCAAAATGAGAGTTTTTTCACTTTGATTATTTATCAACACTTATGATTTCATTGTGGATTTTAGATGAATACAAGTAGTTTTTCATGTGTTAAATAACAACAAGAAAACCCATAAACACAATTTTGCTAAATAAATCTTTGGATAAAAGCGGTATAACCAAAGTAGAAACACTTACATTTGCTTGATTGGGTGGAGTTGTAAGTAGGACTGGAAAAAAGTCATTTAGAGCAATGGTTTAAACCAAGCTAGACCTATCAAATTGGTTGTTGCTACTGCCTATCATTTACAAATCCAGAAGTCTAGAAAATAAGTTTGACTATAATAATAGCTCACATTTACATGCTGAATAGTAGTTTTTAATCCATCCACTCTTTTGCCCAATTTAGATGTGTATGTAATCAATAACTCTAATATAATTTAGAAATCTTATAACCTGTGGAAATTATCGTTCATTCCCCCTCTAGTCACTTGATATATGTGCTCCTATACTTCTTTTACAAGAGCTTTCACGAACTTGCAAGTTGAGTGATGGTTGTAGTCTTATAGCTAACTACTGCCAAAAAAATGGTTACCTATTTCATCACAGAGTTCAATGTTGCAAAAACCTGGTGGTAGATTTGTATTAAGATCATCTTCCAACAAAAAAAAAAAAGAAGATTGAATGTTGCCAATGAAATTGGAGAATAGTGTTTCAGATTAAAAACCTTTATATGTGAATGTAGAACAAATGCTACATCTCTCTAATGAATCTGTCCCTTATACGGTCTTGACTGGAATTTTTCCAACTAGAATCCATCATTCATCCAGTAATGGCTGAATCTTTTCTATGGATCCCAACAACTGGTAATCCTAAATGCTACCTTCTGTGCATCAAGAACCATCTTCCATGTTTAGCTCCTTGGCAAAGACATAAAATTCATCAGCACAGATAATCTCATCTTTAAACTTATGATGTATGGGTTTCAGCCTCTCAAAGGCTTCACAGTGAGCATGGTCAAGGCTGATCCAGTCTTGTCCAGGCGAGGTCTTGGAGGCCGCAATGTTTGCTTAAACTCAATCTTATTCTTGAGTTCCCTGTCTTCGTGAACCACCATGTAAATCATGGCATGCCAGATTGGTCTCCTCTCATCGTCATCAAGGACGAAATCGGGGGCCCTCTCTATGAACTCTTCATTATTAATCCTGCTAAGAGATGAAGACTGCAGACATTTTAGGGCCTGTCAAAGTTGGTGGAAGGTCTGTGCGATGGAATGGTTTTCCTAGAAAGTCTATAGGCAGCTTCCTTTATTTTAATATTTTTTTTCTTCGAACAGGTAACTTTGACGCCGCTGGGATTAAAAATTCAGTTGGTCGCCTGGGGTCAACATTCGTGATCGTGTGATGAGCAGTGTTGGGTCAACTGTCGTGCTCAAGAATAACTACAGTAAAAAAAAACGAACGACTAGGACTATGGATTACGCGGCACTACATTTCTTCCTTCGTGGACGACATAGAAGTTTCGATGGGCTATAGAGTGAGAGGGCAGTAAAGTTTGGCGTGCGCCCAAATTTCTTCCGAGAAGGCTGCGGAGAAAATGTGCTCCATCTTCGGAGCTAGAAAAAGATCACGCGATCATGAGGCAAGCCCTACGAGGAATTCGTCGCCGCTGTTCCAGAGAGATTGACGATTCCAGCCAACCAGCAGTAGCACGACTCCTCCTATAGCATCGTCATCACGGATGATCGCAGCGAATCGTTGTGGGTCTGATTCTCTTTGGAAGCATCGATCCATCGTTTCGACCAATTGGGATCGGTGCTCTTGGATCGTTTCAATCGATTGCTTAGTGCCGTGTCGACGCGCACACTTAACAGCCGACAAGAACAGAGCAGTCAGTGCTCTTCCGCTTTCGGGTATTGGTGCGAGAAGTTCCAATCCATCGTCATCAATGGAAAACGGATCTCACCTCCACACCCACCAATTCCAATCGCCCATCAAGCACCAATTCCACCAGTCGATGACCACCATCGCCACGCTCGCGCTACTGCTGCTGATAGGAGGAGCAATTCTCTCGCCCGTGGAGGGATTCTCCGATTTCCACAACGCAACGTCGCCATTCCTTCCCAGCCCGGGCCCGGAGCCATCACGATTCGACTCCAATTGGCAGGGATTCGGGTCCCCCTGGGACGATTTCCGGTCGCTGCTCGACGCGCACAAGGGGCAGATCAAGAGGTGCGAGAAGCTGCCACAGCTCAAGCGCTACCTCCAGGAATTCGGCTACACGAGCTGGGAGGAATTCACGCCCGACTTTGACAACCAGACCGAGGCCGCGATCAAGCTCTACCAATCCAACTTCGGCCTCAACGCCACCGGGACCCTCGACGAGCGCACCATCACGCAGATGATGAAGCCGCGTTGTGGCGCCGCCGACGTCGTGGATGGCATCTCCGCCATGGCCAGGAGGAGATCCAATTCGTCGAGCAGCCGCTTCCTGGACGGAGCCCGAGGTACAGTCCGAGGAGGCCGAGGTCCCGGGCTCGGTGTCCGCCACTACTCGTTCTTCCCAAACAGCCCAAAGTGGGAGTCGCGGCAGCTCCTCACGTACGCGATCGATGCCTCCGCGCCCGCCGTGACGGGCATCGCCGCCGCGGATCTAAGCGCGCTCTTCGCGGACGCGTTCGCCAGCTGGGCCGCCGTGGTGCCCATCAACTTCACCGAGATCCCCAGCTTCGCGCTGGCGGACATCCGGATCATCTTTGCGCACGGGGAGCACGGCGATGGCCGGCCATTTGACGGGATCCTGGGCGTCCTTGGGCACGGCTTCTCGCCCGAGGATGGGAGGCTCCACTTCGACGCCGCCGAGACGTGGGCGCTGGACGTGTCGAGCTCCTCGTCCAGAAGCGCGGTGGATCTCAAATCCGTGGCGATACACGAGATCGGCCACATCCTCGGTCTCGGCCACTCGGCCCTGGAGAGCGCAGTGATGTATCCCAACATCGGTGCTAGGGAGGTGAAGCTCGAGCTCCACAGCGACGACATCGAGGGCGCCCAGATGCTCTATGGCGCAAACCCTAACTACGATCCCAATGCCAGGACCGAGACGAGGAGCCAGCCAGAGAATGGGATCCCTTCCAGCGCGGCATTCCCATCACAGCATCGCTCCATCCTCTTCACCATCGCGATCGCTTTGTTCGTCTTCCTGGGTTAGGACTTTTTGTGTTACCCGCCATTCATCATTTTTTGGGTGTAAATATATAAGCATATTCTTTCGACTATCGAGCACATTCTAGTTTAGGGTTCATGGAAACTACTGCGATCTCGGCCGTTGGTTGCCTGGACGACATCCGTGAAGCCTAGGGTTCTTCGATTTGGAAGAAGGGTTTTGGGCGGGGTTTGGCGGCTCGGGTGTGCGCAGTCGCGCCAGGGGACGAGATGAGGCCGCCAATGCGTGGAAGAGGAGGTAAGATCGATCACCAGAGCGCTGGCGCGTCGAGAATCCTCGCGCATTGATTGATTCGTCTTGCCAGGGGGCGGGCGCGGCGGGCGCGACGGTGGCGGCAGGGGCCGCGGGCGAGGACGTGGTGGGGGCCGTGATGGCGGAGGCCGAAGCGGAGGCCGAGGCTTCGGGAGAGGAGGTGGACGGGGCGGGCGTGGCGGTGGCATGAAGGGGGGTGCCAAGGTGTCTTTGGAACCACACCGTCACGAGGGCATCTTTATTGCGAAAGCGAAAGACGATGCTTTGGTTACCAGAAACCTTGTACCCGGTGAAAGCGTCTACGGCGAGAAAAGGATCACTGTTGAGGTGGAGTGCTCACTCACTGCAGCATCCTTTATTTTTCTCTCTTGACAAGGAACTGACTCCTCAACTAACTGGTGCTCGGATGTGAAAACAGGCCGATGGAGAGAAAGTGGAGTATCGGGTTTGGAATCCCTTTCGGTCCAAACTTGCGGCTGCGGTTCTTGGTGGCGTCGATAACATCTGGATTGTAAGTACGCTTCTGGAAGTTGCTGGATGTTTCTGCTAAATTTTTACCTGTCTGAAGAAACCTGGCTCTCGCGTTTTGTATCTTGGAGCCGCTTCAGGGACCACTGTGTCTCATGTCTCTGATGTGATCGGCCCTGTAAGTACGAGTGATATGATGGCGATCGTTTTGCTTTTCTAACAGGGAGTGGTTTTTTGGCAGACTGGAATCGTCTACGCTGTAGAGTTTTCTCACAGGTGTGGACGTGATCTCGTGAACATGGCAAAGAAGCGGACAAACGTTATTCCCATCATCGAGGACGCTCGCCATCCTGCTCGTTACAGGATGCTTGTGGGTATGGTGGATGTTATCTTTGCCGACGTTGCGCAGCCTGACCAGGCGCGTATCATAGCACTCAACGCTCACTCCTTTCTGAAAGCTGATGGCAAGTTCGTCATGTCTATCAAGGTGACGCGAGAGGTTTGATTTGATTCGCGGGTCTGATGAGATTTTGTGTTTTTGCTACTAGGCAAACTGTATCGATTCCACTGCTCCCCCAGAGGCAGTGTTCGCCCAGGAGGTGGCGAAGCTCCAGCAGGAGAAGTTCAAGCCTTATGAGCAAGTGACTTTGGAACCATTCGAGAGGGATCACGCGTGCGTTGTGGGAGCATACCGGGCGTCCAAAAAGCCCAAGGCGCCGTCCGCGGCCTAAGATTGCCAGTGCTTTTTTATGGAAGCTATCGCTGATAAAAACGGGGGTCCAATTCAGTTTTGTTGAGCAAGTCCATGGATTTCAGAGCACGTCGAGTCCTGCTTGGATCTTTATTCTGTAAAAATTGGTTTAGCTCAGCAATTTTGGTTGGGCATATGCGGTCGGCATTGCACTGAAGGATTCGAAGGGGCATCGTTTCAAACACCTTCCTTGATGCATATGGAGATAGCATTGCGTTCCACGACACCAAGTTCTTGTCTGGCATTTCGTCTGTAAGATTCCCTTGCATGGAATGTGATGTTAGCAGATTTTGTCGAGGATTTTCGTGGTTTCGTCCTGGGAATATCCCGTGGCTATGGCGTTCCAACATACGGCATCTGTGTATGGAAGAGAATCAAGGAGGCATGTAGCAGCGTTGTTACGGAGACAAGATCGTGCTGTGGCATCTGATCGAGGAAGAAGAGCTCCGACTCTTTCAGGAGACCGCAGTGGACGTAGCCAAAGAGGATTGCCGTGCAAGTCGAGATTCCTTTCACGAAGAGCTCGAGAGAAGACTCCAGATGCCCGTGACGGGAGAATGCTGCAATGGCGCAAGTGCACAGCATATCGTTAAAAGTGATTTGTACATCCGCGAACTGCGATAACGCCCCCAGCATCAGACCAAGGTGTGAGAAATACTACCTTGGCAGAATCAACATGCCCATTTTCGGTAAATGCAAACAGCACCGCGTTTATAGAAAAAAGATCGTTCTCTGGCATCGTATATCTTGCCTTTGGCCTTTCTGAGAGGCTGCAGAAATTATAGCAGTACATGACACAAGGCTCCAGTACAGCATGCAGCTCAAGAACCTTCGCGCTTCATGCCAGGCAAAAGTTGTCCCTCTTGGCCATACCATGGAAGATTTGAGCTGCGTGTTTGATGTTACCACATCTATTGTGCATCTCAATTTGCTTGTTCTTTGAATTTAAAGCAGCCTTTTATTATTTTTTGATAGAACTGAGCAATAATCTAGAGTTGGAGGGTCCCTGAACTTTCTGGAGGAGGGATCCACCCAATTCCATGGTATGTAGCACTCAACCATCCCCATTCTGCGTTTGCGGACATCCACACGATCCCATTCACATAATCTATGACACCTTGCTTCATGGCAAGCCAAACTTGAAATGATCTCCTGCTTTGTCCCGGCGAAATCCTTCTCCAAATCGTCCACCGTGCTCGCCAACATGGCAATCGCCTCGTTCAAACCACACTTGTGATCGCTGCCGTGAATGGGCACGGCGTTGAGGTAGTTCCCTCTTGCCTACTCCTTCCTGAACGAGACGAGATCAAGTCATTGTGGAGCGCAATGTGTTGCGTCCGAATCTCCTCAACCTTGCATATGAGAGGATGATCCAGCACGCCACGCTCCTCAAGCAGAGCAAAGCAAGGCGCAGATGTGATCTCTATCAGCCACACGTGTCCACGTTGGGAAGATTTGCTTGCGAAGCCACTTCGGTTCAATCTCAAACATGTCGAGCACCTTGGTCATAGCATCCAGAATCAGGAGCTGCTGGAGGTTTTGAAAGAATTGTCCCTCCATAAATCCGGCCGATTCGTTGACCAGAAGTGCGGCCTCGTCAAATCTTCCCTTCAAAAACCATCTTGTATGCGCCTGCCACGTTCCTCATGTCCGACGAGGAGATCTCAGGGTTATCCAGAATGTTCATCTGCAAGAAAGAACCAAGCGATGAACTTTTATCTTATGCATAATCCAAGGTTGCTCTCTTGAACAAACACAGGTTGCAACTTCAGAAACTCCACGCACAACGCATCGATCTGAGCGTCGGCCTTTGCATTGTACAGCGGATTCAGCGCTGGAAAGGCCAGAAGTTTACTTGTAGAGTAGCTTGTCTCCACTACTGTTTAATATGTTTGAATATTTTAATATATTCTACTATCTATTTATATCTATAAGTTATAAGCATGTTTATTTATGGCTTTTATTTCCATATATTTAACAGTAAACCGTGTTGCTAAAAAAAATATTTAAAATTAATGGTTAGGAATTGCTTAAAAACTATAGATTTTTAAACCATATCACATATAGCCTGCCTGGATTTATATTATGGAAGTTTAGAAAGGAAATTCAAACCACCTTCCCGTTGGATCCTCATAGAATGCCATCACTCACTCTCAAAACCTTGGCCATCTTCGCATTTCCCACAGAATTTATCGAGAACTTCAGGTTGCGCTATGATGTACTCCAATGCTGGTATTGCTCATCCCCTGATCAATCCAGGAATGCTTATGAGCCTCACGAGTTGGATTAATGCTTGGATTGAACTTACCGACACCAATGCTATCCAAAATCTGCCATGGCCATCGCGCTTGAAGTTGTCCGGCTGCCCCAGCAAGTTGTCCATGAACAACTCCATGGTTCCCGCTTTCTTACCTTTCAGCCAGTACTTCATGCACCTCACCCTGGAAAAGCCAGGACGCGCGAAATTAAGCTTCAGTGGCCAGCGCATGATCGAGATGACTTACATGGATGTCTCGCTCACCACTAGAAAGTCCTCCTTGGCAGAGAGCGAGACTCCATTCGCAAAAAACATGTTCTTCCGCAGGACTGTGGTGGTGCGAGTCGCGGGGTCGTACTTCAAGAGCCTGCCGTTTGGGCGGCACTGGAGGACGTCCAGTTTGGCCTTCTCCAGCAGAAACTTGCTCGTCGCATCCGTGAAGTAGATGGTGCCATCCTTCGCAACGTCTAATCCATTACCCAACGCTGTGCCGGATCCAGCGAGATCACAGCAATGGAAACAAAGCTCTCGAATCAACATGGAAAGCAAGCTCCTGAATCAACAAGGACGATGAAGGAGATCTAACACTCACATGAATTTGACACCATCGGCTTCGCTCGAGAGAACCTCCACGCACTTATCCCGAGTGATGTTGAGCAGCCCCTGCGCGAGAGAAACAGGATGAACGGTCTCAATCTCAAATCGGACTTGTCAAATCAAAGAGAACTTCGCCTGGCACGCAGACGACCAAATTCTTTTGTCGCCCGCGCACAACCCCAAGCGTATGGCCTCCCACATTCACCCAGTTCTCCACCTCGCCAGTCTTTCGCGACACCTTCTTGATCCACCCGTCGGAGCAGCCGATGTAGAGCACGCCATTGTCGTCGTCCAAGGAAATGTCCTCGGGACCGGGAAGCTCTCCCCCGCCAATCACCTCCGCCTGCTGGAGCACTGTGTTCACCGCGAACAATCCTCCCTCTTTGGAGTTGGAGGCCAGTCCGAGGGCAGTGGATCAATCCCCGCGCGGCGGACGACTGCCGGCCATATCGCCGATGTGGCTATGCAGATGATCACAGCTAGAATCGCCACATGAAGGATCCCCATTGGCACTCGTGACGCGAGAGGATCGAACAAGTGTGTAGGAGGAAGAGGAGACTTCTACGAGTACAAGAGAGGAGGGGAAGAAGGATCTATTTCGTTTTGGAGGAGCTGGATATTCTGGCCAACAGCAAACATTCCGTTTGGACAAGCAGGATATTCTGGCAGACAGAATTCTTTGTTCAAGACTGACGGTCTATTTCCTCCGTTCTTCAAGTTGCGCGTGATCCTATGGGCGATAAAGGACTTAAAACATGTAGTAATAATAATAATTACAAGATCAAAAGCACATATCATACAGCGTTTTTAATCGTGGTGCTGTACGGCTCCTTTCTCCCGTCGTGCTTGACGAAATCGTAGTAGTAACTCCACAACATCACGCCGCCGTACTTGCTCGACTCCTTGATCTTCGGAAGAACCTGTTGCTTGAGAACCTTCGCGGGCATGTATCCGTCCTTGGTGGAGGGGCTGTCGGTGGCACCGCTCAAGCTCGCCGGCAGGCCGAAGAAGACCTTCTTCACTGGAACTTTGGTCGTCCACTTGTGCCATGCCGCGAACACGTTGTCCAGAGGTCTGTTTGGGTTGTACTGGCAGTCGTGATTGTTGTAGAACTGGACCCAGGCGTAGTCGAACACGCCCGTGTTGAGAGCCGGGCCGAGGAACTCGTCCGGGAACGGGCACTGCGGGGCTGCGGACAAGAGCACCGGCCTGTCTTTGGTGGAGCGGAGCTTAATCTGCTTGGCAAGCTGAGCGTAGCCGGTTTGAGTCGAGGTCATCTCCATGTCGAAGTCGATCCCGTCCAGCACTGCGTCGCCGAGAGGCCTGGAGCTGCTGTTTCCTGCTCCTCCCAGAAAGTTGTTCCACAGATAGTCCGATACGGCGATGGCGTCCTTGTCCGAGACAATGCTGTAGTTGCCGTCGGCACCACCGAGCGAGAGGAACACCTTGACACCTTTGCTCTGGCAGAACTTTACGTCTTGTCCGACTGGAGCACAGTTGATAGCGCTGCCGTTGATGGCACTGCCGTTGACACCCCCGCAGTGATCAGCGAGGTCCAGCTTTGGAGCTCTCCCGTCGCCAAACACGCTGAGGAAGCTGAGCACGACGATGCCGTAGTTCCCCGTCTCACAGGCTGTTTTGAGACTGCCTTCCTTCTCGTAAGTTCCCCAGTATACAACGACTGTGCCATTAGCCCTCTTCTTGCAGTCTACTCCGGAAACTAAGCTAGATGCGACTAGAGTAAGCACAAGAGAAACCAAATTACTCACAAGTCCCCTGGTCTTCATTCTCCTTCGTTTCCGTGGCCCTCCAGTTCCCACCTATTAGGACAGATGAGTCCACGACAAAGAGCTTAGCTTACCTCGTGCTCGAGTTTGCCTTAAGTCGTCCAAATTGCTGCACCTGTGCAACACTGTCAAGATCGAAACTTATTTGTCGCTCGACGACCGTCTCGAAGAAGCGCTCGCAAAAGCAACACACTTTATTGGTGGCCACGTCGGGCGTGACTAAAGCTGCCGAAGCTTCAACTTGCCAACGTAGTTCCTGGCCAAGTTTCCCAGATAGAGATAATCGCCGACTTCCAAGGCCGTCGTCACCAGGGCTATCGACTTCCCTGTCGGATCTTCATAGAATGCCAGCGGCACCCCATCTTCGCCAACTGCTAGAACTTTGGCCATCTTTGAGGACGCGGAGATCTTCTGCAGCACACCCGGAAGGGCCAAGATGTGCTTCAGTGGTGCTATCTTCACTAAAGTGTCAGTCAGCCTTGTCCTTCCCTGAAGTCAGTGTCCACATGAAGTCTGATTGGATGTTATGAAATATAGAGCAAACTTACTGCTACCAATCCAATCCAGAATCTATCTCGGCCGTTGTGTCTAATGTTGTCTGGATGTCCAGGCAAGTTATCGATAAAAACTTCCATGGTTCCTTCCCTTTCACCTTGCAACCAGTACTTCATGCACCTCACCCTACAAACGAGGACGAACGTAAGCTGCCTGCTCAAAAGTATGGACCAACAACTTACATGGACGTCTCGCACACCACTAAAAAGTCTTGCTTCGCAGAGAGTGCAACACCATTGGCAAAATACATGTTCTTGCGCAGGACTGTTGTGGTGCGAGTTGAGGGATCATATTTCAAAAGTCTGCCGTTCGGGCGACCCTGAAGAATATCTAAGTCAGAGGTGTTCATGCCAAACTTGTGCGTTGCATCCGTGAAGTATATGGAGCCATCTTTTGCAACGTCCAGTCCGTCAGTTAGCCTGTTGTTCAGCAAAAATATAAAGCTCAACAAGGACGTCCCAAACAACACAAACACCTACTTGTATTTGACACCGTCGGCTTCATTGGAGAGAACTTCAAGAGCCTTATCAGCAGTAACATTCAGCAGTCCCTGCCAGAAAAGAGAGTCAGTCGGATTTGTCAAACAGTTAGGACCCACCCGGGTTGGTTCGCAGACAAGCAAATTTCCATGATGTCCCCACGCAAGTCCAAGCGGATGGCCTCCGACCTGTACCCAATTCTGGACCTCACCAGTCTCGGGAAAAATCCTCTTGATCCATCCGTCAGCGCAGCCGGTATAGAGCACGCCGTTATCGTCCACAGCAATATCTTCGGGACCAGGAAGCTCTCCCACACCAAGCTCATCCAATTCCTGGAGCAGTGTGTTTGTCGCGAACACCCCTTCCATCTTTGGAGTTGGAGGCCAGTGCGACGCCACTGGATCTATGCCCGACTTCCGAGTGATAGCCGACCATGTTGCCGACGCTGCTATGGAGATGACCAGAGCCAGAATTCCCAAAAGAGCGAGTGCCATCTTGAAGATCTCGCCACCTGGTGTCCCCAGCTATTGAAACGGAACGGGAGGACCGGTCGTTGATGTGTAGCTAGCAGCGTGTGCGTACCCTGCGGAGCATGGCAATGGCGTGTCTGAGCAATATCAGAAACGTGACTCTCACCTTAATGGCGGAATTCAAGATTAACTCGCCCTGCACAAACAAGCAAAACCCTCAACTACCACAATCAATGGCTTCAAATCGCTTACCTTGAGCTTGCCTGTTGACTTGTTGAATCCTTGCGCTGGACAGATGCTTGACCAGCCTGTTCTCCTCCTTCACTTCCACTACTGTCATAGCCATCGCCGTCACCTATATCACCTGTGTCCTCAACCATCTCAGAATCGTCGTCGTCATCCTCTTCGTCGAAAACTGCACTGCCCGTATGAGCCTGAGGAGGAGCTTCCATAAACTGGACACTCATCCTCCGCTTAAACTTGTCGTCACTGCAAGCCAGGAACCAGGCAAGGCTGCAATTGATCTTCTTCCTCTCTACCATCCGGTACCGGGGCTTTATCCTCCGTGCAAGGTCGTAAGTCAAGTAGACGGGAAATGCCAGCAGCTCTGATAATGGCTTTCTCATCTTCTGCTGGAAAAAAGCCAGGTTCGGCTTCAACGTTTCCTCCAGCTTGACCGCCAAAATCTGTGGACAATCGACAACCATCTTTGCTATGTCACCAGCGCTGATTCCTGCTCCTTGCAGAAACTTCACCTTTTCCCCGGCCATCTTTTCGTTGATCACAAGCATCTGAGGCAGCCTCTCAAACACTCGAGGAACGTCTGACGGTCGCAAGAAGATTTCATTCGTCAACCAGGCCGTCTTCTCTGCGAGCTCAGCCCTCAAGTCGAGCTCAAACACGTCCGGGAATCGAGCTATAAACGATGGCAGCTCTTTCTCTTGGATCCCTGCCTGTAGTAGACACTCCACCTTTGGTTTCACATTTTCCTCCAGATCAAAACCCAGTACGTAAGGATGCTTCTCTAGCAACCTCGCTATCTCCTCCTTTGTAAACCCCAGACCACGGTAGAAATCCACCTTCCTCTTTATGTTGTTCCCGACTCTCATGCCAAGAAGTTCCGGGAACCGCGTAAGCATCGGCCCAATCTGTCGACTGTTTACTCCAATGCTCACCAGGTATGCCACCGATGTGCTCATGGTCCCTTCTCGCTTGAAACCAAGAACATCCGGGTAGCGTAGTAGAACCTTTGGAATATTTTCCAGAGAGATCCCATAGCCTAGCAAGTAGTCCACGATCGGCGTCAAATCTATCGCGATGCTGGAGTAGAGGATCATCGGAAACTGCGTCAGCAACGCCGGAAGCTCCTCCGGAGTAAATCCCAGCTTGTCGAGGTAGTCGATCACTGGAACCATGTTGCGTTTAACACTACATGTAAGAACTACTGGATACCTCAAGATGTGCGCCTTCTCTAGCCCAATGCTTGCAAGGAATTCCAGCCGCTCTCGCACCACGTCGACCGAGAGTGGAAGATCGAGTTGGTCGATGTCGCCGCCGGAAATACCCTCGCCGCGGAGGAAATCCATCACTTGCTCCCGGCATCCCTCCTCACTGCTCTCAATCTCGGGCTCCTGCACCGCCAATCCCCAGTGATCGGGAGTGTGAAGGGGAAGACGAGACGCGCGCTTGTACCTCCGCCTTGGAGCGCATTGCGATCGCACGGCGTCGCTTGAACGAAACACTAGGCTGCTCGCGGAGATCCTCGATGGCGGGAGAGAAAGAAATGCCTCCATCGCCGATAAAACCCTATATCTTGGCCACGCAGGCGGTTTTTCCTCCACGTGGCCACGCTTGCGACCACGTCTGCCCTAGTTCTTCCGTACACATTATATTTACCGTATGACCAAAATTTTCGAAACCTTTCTGTTACATATCCTCCTCTGGGTCGGCATTGCCGGAAGAGCGAAGAACCCTAATTGCGATGCAGGGAAATTCTCTCGACGGCCTCGAGTGCCCGGCTCCGCGGCCGCAGATTTGGGGGCTTTCTCGGTGCGGCAGCATGTAAGAATCGCATTCCGCATTCCGATCATGGGGTATCCGTGCTAGCGCGCTCGGGGAAGCGTCTTCCACTCCATAGGGTTTGATCGGCGGCCATTTGCCATGTACTCCGTGTCACAAGCGCAGCAATCGCAGAGCCAGCCCCAGCAGGCGCAGGTAGCCGCGGCCCAGGCGGCCCAGCAGCAGTTACAGCTCCAGCAGCAACAGTTAGAGTTGCAGCAATGGAAGCAAGCGCTAATGCAGCAAGCGGCGGTGCTCCAGCAGCAGCAGCCATTCCTTCATCCTGGTCTCATCACGGCTATGTCCCAGGTACGTGCTGATGCTTGGCTCTCTCTTTTTTTTGGAATTTTAGTTGCCATAGCTCTTGGCTTCGTGCTTGATTGTTTCTCGCTATGTTTTTATGACGATCCACTCTGTTGCAGGCTAAGGTACAACGAGATTCTTGTCTTTGGTAATCGTTTTTCGTTCTTTTTTTTTTTTTCACTGCTTTCGGTTCTTCTAAGTTTTTTTTTTTTCCTTCGTTGTTCTTCGTTTTCCTTTCCCCGAGAGAGGAAAGCGAGCTCTTTTAGTATTGGTTTTGTTCTTTCTTTTTTTCTTTTCTTTCTTTTTTTCTGCATTTCCTTTCATCGTTTTTTTTGCAGATTGAGCCAATTCCAAGTGGAAATCTGCCACCAGGGTTTGATGCAACTTCTTGTCGCAGTGTGTGAGTGCTTTTCTTTTTTTCTTTTTTCTTTTTTGTTGTACCAATTCAGGTATCTGTTTTCTTTTTTCAATTTCCTTTTTCTTTTTTCCTTTTGGTTGTTTATTAACTTAAAAACTATGCTGAGCTTGGGCCGTCATTGCTTTGGTTGCGGAATGATTTTGTTTCTAGTCTGATGTTCATTCCTGCTGCAGATACGTTGGTAACATTCACATCAAAGTAACGGAAGCGTTGCTTGCGGAGGTTTTTGCAACAGTTGGGCCTCTCGAAGGTTGCAAGCTTATAAAGAAAGAAAAAGTTAGTTCTGGTTTTGTCTCTATCTTGCCCTTATCACTAACGGTATTTCGTTACCTTGCTTGGCAGTCCTCTTATGGTTTTGTCGATTACTTCGATCACAGATCAGCTGCCGCTGCGATCATTACCCTCAATGGCAAGCTAATGTAAGCGTCTCTCTTCCTCTTGCTGGCACTAAACGAAAACTTGATGGAACAGATTTGGGCAGTCCATAAAGGTGAATTGGGCTTATGCCAGTGGGCAGCGAGAAGATACTACAGGTTGTACTTTTAATTTTTTTTTCATTTCTCTGAGATTATCGTCTGTTCAGGACATTACAATATTTTTGTGGGTGATCTTAGTCCTGAGGTCACAGATGCAACACTCTACGCTGCTTTCTTCATGTATCCTGGTTGCTCGTAAGTGTTAATATGGTTTCCTCCATTCCATCTTTGTATAACTTTTATTTCGCAGGGACGCTCGGGTTATGTGGGATCAACGATCTGGCCGCTCTCGTGGATATGGTTTTGTGTCATTCAGGAGTAAACAGGTGCTTACACTCCATGCTCAACGGCTTACAACCGCTCAATTTTTTTGTTATTATAGGAAGCAGAAAGGGCTATCAATGAGATGAATGGTATGCGGAAGAGATTCTTTACTTTGAATGGTTTTATAGCCTCGTTTATTTTATGTAGGGAAGTGGCTTGGCAGTCGTCCTATTCGCTGTAACTGGGCAACAAAAAGCACAGGATCGCAGGAGGACGTACCAACACCAGGACCTGTTAGCGTACCTGAGCAGGTTGCTGTTGTTCAAGTACAAATGAAACAAGAGCCCAATCACGATGAACAACATGAGGATGGGGCTATGCAATTAGATGGTCCTGAAAACAATCCACAGTTCACGACAGTATACGTTGGTAATTTAGCGCACGAGGTCAGTTGAAGGACATAACAGTTACAGTGGTTAAGACGTTTTGTGTTTTTAATTTTCCCAGGTGACACAGACAGAGTTACATAGACAATTCCATGCTTTAGGTGTTGGAGTGATTGAAGACGTAAGGGTGCAGAAAGAGAAAGGCTTCGGTTTTGTACGCTATAGAACACACGAAGAGGCAGCTTACGCTATTCAGGCAGCAAACGGGAGAGTGATCTGCGGGAAGTCCGTCAAAGTAAGAAAAATGTTTTCATTCGGCGTCTCACAATCTTCGTTTTCTCGTACAGTGCTCATGGGGAAGCAAGCCTACACCAGCTGGAGCATCGTCGAATCCTTTGCCTCCACCACCACCAGTTGCTCTCCCGTTGCAAAGCTTGATGGCTGCTGGGATGAATCAAGCATACTCCGCGGCGGACTTGCTGGCGTACCAAAGGCTAAGCCAATCCAGTGGAACGGGACAGGCGCTGTTACCACTTCCTCAGCAAGGAACAAGCGGTTCTCGAGTTTTTGATGGCATCCAGCCGAGTGCTGCAGCGGCAGCAGCCTCGTTGGCGGCAGCCATGGGCCAGCAACACATGTTCTACTGAAAGTAAGCTCTAGTTCTTTTACCGCATTTGATCTCAATAACTGTGGACTTTGCTACGTTTGTTTTCAGGAGCGTTGTCCAGCATTTGTGGCTGCTGCCTGCACTGATAGGTAGCTCTAGCAGCTTATTTGTACGTCCTTTTTTCTTTTCTTTTTTTCGTTTTTTCGTTTTTCTCTTTTCTCTTTTATTCTGGTTTGTATCACTAACCGAAGAGACTAATTTGCGAGTGATTGAGTTTGCTCTCTTTCTCTTTTCTTCTACCAGTATAGGAAAAGGTGAACGAAAGCGAGCCTTGATAAGTTGCGACAAAGAGACTGTCGAGTGGACAGTTTGGATAGCGCAGCTCAGTTCTTCTGGGAGCCATGGATTGAATGCGAAGATGGCGACTTTACAACACATAGCTACTACTATACATGAACAGCCAGCGCGGAAAATAGAAAGAAGAGCACGCTCGTTTTCTCGATCGAAAAGGCTTAAATGCGAAACGGGAAGAAGCTCTCGCTATAAATGCGTGCTGGTTTTGGATCGATCCGATCGGATCCCGCCAAGATTCCCAGAGATTCCCTGGAGAGCTGGTAACGGCAGCGTGTAATAAGAGGGACATCCGTTGGAGAGTTCCTCAGCAACGGCCGAGATCGTCGCTGGCGGCAATGCCGCCCATCCTAGCCGTTGAAAAGCGATTGAGATTAGTGAACCATAGCTTTTTTGGCATCGAACAATGCTTTGCAAAGAAATTGATCAAACAATTTGCACGGGTTGAGTAAAATAAAGGGAACATCATCAAACATTGAGCGGACGATAGCGATGATCGTCGAAAGCTACGTGTATTTGCAAGATGCGGGAATCTTCCTTGGTGACGTCCGTGACGGGTCTCCAACAGCCAGTACCGGCAGTAGCCGGTGGGCGGCATTGGCCCAGACGGGCGGTGACCGCTGGCGCCGGTGCTTCCTCCCCCCTGTTTTTTGAAACTAAAGTGGAGAAGCGCTGGGCGCTGGCTTTGATTCTTTTTTTTTCTCTCTTCCTTCCTTCGAGGAGCTCTGGTCGATGCTATGGCGCGCGTCGTGGAGGCGCCGGAGGGCGGCGGCTTGTTCTAGCGGATCGCTGACGCTGTAGCATTTGGAAAGGAGCTATGGGGATCGATCTGTGTGTGAGCTAGCGGCATTGATCGAGGTAAGCACGGCGTAGCGAAATATCGCTCCCAGCGGTGGTTAAGGCGCCGCTGGCCATGGATCGATGACCCTGGAGGAGTATCGAGATCTCGATGGAAAGCAGCAGGCTGTGGTGGGGAGGAAGAGCCGGAGTGCTCATCGGCTTCTTGTTCTTGGCACATTTGGCAAGCGGGCTGAGACCACTACTACCCTATGGCACCGAGTTCGTGAAGAATCCCACCGGCTTGTTACGGAGGTCTCTCGAGGATGGGGCGTTTCCACCAGATTTCTCTCCAGCCTCTGGGCCTTCTCCGCTGCCACAAGAAGCCTCGTCAATTAGTCCATCTGGGGGTACTTTGCAAGGTTTGTGATTCTATATTTTTTTTTCTTTTGCGAAGCTCGATGTATCCTTATCCAAATTTTCTTTTCTTTTTTTCTTCCAGCTCCGATCGGTGCTAGTGATAGCGGACACAGTGATGGTGGTGGCCATCACATGAGAAAGGGTGTCCTTGCCGCAATCATCCTCGTGCCCACGCTGGTTTGTGCCTCTATACTTTTGTCTTCCTACATTTCGCTGGATTCTCTCCGACCCCGGCTAGCGAAAGTTTTCGGGAAAGATGAAGGCTATTCCGACCCTCCAACGCCTCTGCCCCCTTATCGTAAGCTTTTCCTGATTGTGAAGGTGGAGCTGACTGGATTCTGGCAAATGTAGATGGCGGTGGGGGTCCAGTTCAAATCAAAACGAAGCGTTCCGATGAACCGGCAAAGCCAGCTCAAGTTATGGATTACAAAATGCTGGAAAGTGCCACTGACAGATTCAGCGAGGAGAATCTCATCGGGGAGGGTGGATTTGCTCGAGTGTACAAGGCCCAGCTGGATGATGATCATGCCATCGCAGTGAAGAAACTATCCACCGAAAATGATCAGGCTGACGAAGAGTTCCGGGTTGGTATCGTACATTATTTGTCCGAACGACTCTGATGGTTGCTGTGACTCTTTTTGCTTTCTTTCAGGCCGAGATTAATCTCATGGGGCGAATTCATCATCCCAACTTAATAGCTCTTCTTGGTTTCAGCTCGCAAGGAGAAGACCGACTTCTCATTTATGAGTTGATGACAAATGGTTCACTGCAGGACCAGCTTCAAGGTGAGAGGACTGAGCTCCTCGTACCATTTCCTTTAACTTTGTGGCTTTCTCCAGGGCCTGCCCAAGGAGCTGCTCTCACCTGGCATTTACGCCTCAAAATTGCCCTTGACGCAGCCAGGTTGGTTTCCAATTTGAACTTCGCTTTCCGGCATGACTTTGTTTATTCGTAAAGTGCAGAGGACTTGAATACCTTCACGATCACTGCGATCCACCAGTCATCCACAGGGACTTTAAATCTTCTAATATACTCCTAGACGAAGACTTCAATGCAAAGGTTCGTCGCCATGTCAATTCGAAGCTATATGTTTACATTTTCTTGCCTTGTTTGTTTACTTGCAGCTATCCGACTTTGGTCTTGCTCTGATGGTACAAGAAGGCGCCGGCAGCCTTCAACTGCAAGGCACATTTGGCTACGTTGCTCCAGAATACATCCTCACTGGTCAAGCCTTGTGAATTTTTTTATCTTTCTTTCGCTGTCACCTCACCTTCCTTTGAAAACGCAGGAATTCTCACGGAGAAGAGTGACGTCTATGCATTTGGCGTTGTGCTTCTGGAGCTCATCACCGGGAGAAAACCCATTGACGTCTCAATGCCAACAGGGTGCCAGTCGCTTGTGACATGGGTATGACGTCTCGAGATTTTCCTCTTGCGGAGACTTTCTGTGTATCAACCTACTGCCACTTGCAGGCCACGCCGCAACTGACCGACCGCACCAGGCTTCCCCTCATTGTGGATGCTGCGATCAAGGATACTGTCAACTTGAAGCAACTCTTCCAAGTAAGTGCGCTTCCTCTTTTCGGTTTTGGTTTGTTTGTTGCCAGTGCTGGCTGACTTGATGATTCTAACGCAAGATTTGTGTGTAGGTCGCTGCTGTTGCTGTTCTATGCGTCCAGTCGGAGCCAAGCTACAGGCCTTTGATTGGAGACGTGGTGAACTCTCTGATCCCGCTGGTCCCTTGCGAGCTGGGTGGTGCTTTGAGGGCGATTGATCCGGCAGGAGCCACTGCGGCAAACTCCCACTCCCAACACGGCGTGTAAAACAAAGGATGTGAGTAACCATGCGTAGAATGCAACAATTTTGTAGAGAAGCATGGCTATATGAATTATTCCAGCTTTAAATAAAGACTATTCTTAATTAATTCGCCTCTAATGCACTTAAATTGGGGTTAGGGTACTTCGTCACCGTCGATCAAACGCGATCCCAACCGTCTATGTTTACCCGTTAGGGAGAAGCTAGGTCAAAAAATTGGCGAGCGATGGTGGCGTGCGAGTTTGGGGAGGACGACTGTGGTGAGCTCCTCAAGCTGTACAGGCGGGGTGAGAAGCTGGGATCTGGCGGCGAAGGGCAGGTCTATTTGTTGAGTGCTCGTCGCAGGGCTGGCAAGAAGTATGCGGGGAAATCAGTTAAATCGATGTGGAATGCCGAGAACGAAGCTCGACTCATGTCCAAGCTTCGAGTCTGCCCTGGAGTCGTCGCCTTTGAGGATTTCGTGAGGGAGAGAGAAGGTGGGAGGTGCTATGGGACTATCGTTATGGAACTTTGCGGCCCTAGCTTGGCAGAGCGATTGATCCAGGGCGGGGCAGTGACTGAGGAAGAAGCAGCCAAGACTATTAAAACGCTAGCAGAGACACTCAAGTGGATGCACTCAAGAGGGGTCGTCCACCGCGATCTCAAGCCTCACAACATCTTTGAGAGGCTCAACGCCACTGCAGTGGACGAAGTGGTGATTGGAGATTTTGGCATGGCCACGGACAAGCAGTGGGATTAGCAGCAGTATTGTGGAACAGCAAAGTACATGGCACCTGAGGTGGTAGCGGTGAAGAGTGATAGAGCCGAAGGACCACGAGCGAGTTACACGGCAGCCGTGGACGTGTGGGGGCTGGGAGTCATTGCGTACGAGCTGCTGAGTGGGTATCGATCGAGAGTCGAATTTGATTTTCTGAGAGCAGGAGCATTCCCGAGTGATTTGGCGTCGTGTGAAGCAGAGGATCTCATCCAGGGAATGCTAGCTGTGGAGCAGAGCAAGAGGGTGACTCTAGATGCCGTGCTTGCACATCCCTGGATTGTCAAGCATTGTGGTAGTGGGGAGATCTTAACAGCGATGCCACACAGGAGGAGGCATTGTGGAGTAAAGAGAAAGTTTTCTGGCACCGGTGGGGATTTGATCACGAAAAAAATTCTTGCGGGATAGCTGTGAAAGCAAGTCATCCGGTAAACACATCGTTTTCTTTCAAATTTTTCTGAGCAGTCGGAAATTAACTCATAAGTTTGGCTTAATTTTTCCTGAAATCGGTATTGCAGATGGGGCTGAGAACAATGATCTTGAAGACATATATGAACAACATACAAAGAATAGAAGAAAAAGAAAAGAAGCAAGAGCATTGGTAATGCTTTAGCATTGAGCTTCCAAAAAAATGTTTATTGCGGTGGAAGACATTTTGAGAGACAGCCTTCCACCATAAAATTCAGTATATAAAGAAAGAAAAATTCAAAACCAAAGATGAACTCTAGCGGCGGATTTTGACGAAGGCACTGCAATCCACACCCGAGCTTCAAGCCAGGAATCGCCGCTCCAGCACTCGCGAGCTTGCACGCCAAGTGTGGGAGCCTGGATGCTGTTCGAGAAGAACCGCGGGAACGCGATGGTTGGAGGGAGGGATGGAGTGGTGCTCGCGTCGTGCTCCTGCGCCGGGGCTGCTCGAGCGGGGGATGTTCTACGCGGGCTGGCGGAGCCGCGAGCACGGGGAGGCGGTGGAGAGCGAGCTGCTCGGGCGGTGTGGGAGGCTGGGCGAGGCCGAGGCGCTGCTCCGCAGTATGCCGCTGGAGCCCGATGGGTGACGCACAAGAGGAGGTGATCCGCGCGGACCGGGTGGGATCCTGGCGACGCTGCGACTTACGTGCTCATCGAGCGCGGGAATTTTTGTGGTCGGGGTTAGGGTTCTAGGCTGGGTCGAGGATGGGGAAAGCGGCGCCAATGCGGCAGCAATCGGTGGAGATCGAGGCCCTTGGATCGCTTTTCCAGGGCCCGTGGGAGAAGAGGTACTGCAGCAGCTCTCGGGATTGTGGCCGATACTCTGGAGGTTATTTCACGTACTCTGGAGGTATTTCACGTGAGAGAAGAAGAACATAATTCACCGTAAGTACAAATAGCTTCCTCATGAAATGCAGTGAGAATCTCATTTTTTTCTTTTGACGCAGTCAGCAGTCATTGCTGGGATCCAACCCAGAAGAAAATCAAAACAACTCGGACTTGACTTGCCAGCATGATATCTCTGCTACTTCCAAATGCCGAACGTGATCCGAAGGCCGAACATTTTGCGACTGCCGCAATGAGATGCCTTTTGATAACAGGAGCTCTTTCTTTAGTCGCTGCTGGAGATGAAGGTTGTATCAAAGAATGGCGCATGGATCCGTCTTGGAGGTAGTCGGTTTTCACGTTGCTCCAGTGGAGCTTGTGGATGTGCTCCGGGAGCTGGAAGAACAGTTTCTCCGGGCTTCCGAGGCTGGAAAGCCAGTGGTGAGAATGCTGGAGGCGGGCAAAGTCCAGCTCGAGAAAGGTAAGGTGTATTTCCTTGCATTATTCACGTCCTATGCAGGCATTCTTTGTATGAAACAGATCTCCCTCCTGCAAGATATAACCCCAAGACTTTCCGGAGCATTTTAAAGATAAATCGTTCCTCAAGCACCTCACCTTGTTCTTGGATGTGACATGGATGGCTACGTTGCAATCTGGTATTTCTAACTTCGGTTTGCAGTTGTCCAAGAAACTCACTCTCTTTTTTATTACATCTTACAGGAATATCTCCAAAAAGCAGCTGCTTTCTTCATGCCACAAATTTTGCAGACATTCACGTCGTCGATCGTTCTTTGGTGGATGGTTTCATAGATCGAGACTACGATTGTTGTGTCTGCCTTCTGAAAAATGTTAAAGACGATGCGAAACGTCAGAACCACTGGAGAATGGCCCTGCTAGAGAATAATGCCTTGTTTGTTGGCAGTGATCTTGCAAACAGGTATGCAAATCTACTGGAACTTTTTGTTCATAACATTATGCTCAGCACCCGTTGCTGGCACTGACGAGGGGCGAGTTTTTCTTTGGGAATTTTCCACCGGAAAAAGAGTGGTTGAAATGTTTGAGCAAGGTATGAGATTCTTGTTTTTCAAGTCAAGCGTGCAATGTAGAATCGAAAATCGTACAAGTGAAAACTACAACGTCGTCGCGTTTGCTGGCAACTGTTGGAGAGGATGGGCGTGTTGTTCTGTATGTGTAGGAGGTATAGTAATATAAGTTTGTAACTCGAGCTTCACTTTCCCTTAACTTTCAGTTCGGAATCTGAAAGGAGCGCTTCAGCAGCTCGTCTCCCTGACAGAAGTGCTCCGTCGAAAGTTGCTGAGACTCGATGATCTCCGCACAGGTACAAACCTGCATCAACTTTTGGTTCTTTAGAGAGGTTGGTCGGCGGAGTCTGATCGGGTTGAGCAAACAAGATCCTGTATGTCTTCAAGTGCTGCCACTTCGCTACTGTTTCCCGCCCAAACCATTCCTCAAGCTCGGACCTCACTATTTTCTCAAGCTCGGCATCTGAACTGGCGGAATATCTTCCGATCAATGTTACCGAGACGAGAGCTTTTCCAACAGGGGCATACGAAGAGCAGACGCTGCTGGGAAAGCACATATTGTTGATGACGCCTTTGTCAGTGCCGTTCAAGAGCAGGACAGCTTCCTTGATTGGGGCTCTATCGGCAGAAAAGTAGAGGCAGACAGTGCTGCGAGCAGGCTTATCGGTGCTTTCGCAAGCTGTTTTGCTGCTCAGCAAACGAGCTGCTTCCGGACCTTCGACTGCCACTATTATCCCGTACTTGGACTTGACAACCTTTCCAGTATCAAGTCTCACCTTTGAAACTTTACCGTCTTCTCCGACAAGCAGCTCTTGTACTCGGGAGTTCAACTTGATTGATTCGTCTGGAAGGCTTCGAGCAAGCTGCTGTGATATTTCGCCGATGCCTTTAGCGGGAAGGCAATTCTGTCCCAGAGCCAGGCACTTGAAGACGAAGTTAAAAAGCCGGGACGTGGTTTTCAGCTCTCTGTCAAAGAAGATGCCACCGAAGAACGGTCGGAAGAATCGATCTATCATCTGCGAGGAAAAGCCGTCGGCCTTCAACTTTTCTCCGATCTCTACTTCAGGTGCCGAGACAAGTTTCTCAAATGGTTGTGATGCTGCTTGAAGCCTGACAATGCCGACGAGGATTTTGTCCAGGACAGTACCAATCGGATTACCAAGCGACAGTATGCCGTCGACCAGGTGCCGGAACGGGTCTGCCACTTTGTGAAAGCGTCCGTCAAACCAGACAAAGGCTCCGGCATAAAAGTTCTTGAGCTCCAGCGTTTGGTAGTCGAGAACTTCTGCAGCCTCCGGATATGCGGATATGAAGATCTGGAAGCCCCTGTCCAGGACGTAGCCTTGGACGGTGTCACTTCTCACTCGACCTCCAACTCCATCCGACGCTTCAAGGAGCTGGAATGTGACGCCTTCTTTGTGCAAGCGTCGTGCTGCCGCGAGACCAGCAAGGCCTGCTCCAACTATTACAACGTCAACCTCTGGAGGAGAAACGTTGTCAGCAGATTCAGATGCTCCATTCTCAGTTTTCCAAGGCTGGTCGACCGTCTGGACTGCTCGCAAGGAACTCGGGGATGGCTTAAGACGAGAGCAAAGTGCTACTTGGTCGTGGTGGTGCTGTTGCTGTACCTGGAAGCGGCAATTCGGATAGAGTGGGGATTCCCATCGACTAGGTGCCAAGGCTGCCAGGGCCACAGGTAATGTGATCGCCATACTCTAGTCACTTCGAAAGTTTTTTTTAAAGATGTTCATATTGACGGCTTGGATTGCAGGACGAGATCCAACGGGGGTGTTTTGGGAGTAGAATGAGCAGCGCCCTTTTCCTGCGACTTCCCATTCTAGCGCGTGCAGGTGAAAGTTTGAGGCGCTGTGCTGCTCGCTCCGGAGTTCGAGCTTTTGCAAGCATGCAGTCAGATGCAAGGAAACCGCCTTCGCAGGCTCCACAGGAGCCTCCGACTAGCAAGGTCAGTGGAAGTTTTATTGTATCGGGATGCCCTCGTCACGTTATTTTTGGTTTTTGTGGCAGTTCAAGCTCGCCGTTTGCCAGCTCTCGATCTGTGCAGACAAGGAACAGAACATCAGGCATGCTCGTGAAGCTATCCAGACGGCTGCTGATGGCGGCAGTAAACTGGTCCTTCTTCCAGTTAAGTTTTGTAGTTGTCTGCTCAGTCATAAGGAGAATGTGTTACAGGAAATGTGGAATTGCCCATACTCAAACGCGAGCTTTCCAATCTACGCGGAGGATATTGACGCAGGTGATTCTCCCTCTTCCAAAATGCTTTCGGATATGGCAAAGAGTAAGGAGGTTACCATCATCGGTGGCTCCATACCGGAACGAAGTGGCAATCATCTCTACAATACTTGCTGCATCTACGGAAAAGATGGCTCTCTAAAAGGAAAACATCGGAAGGTTTGCTTTTCTGACGCGTCGTCTACGGTTTTTCTCAGCCCTCTTTCACACCAGGTTCACCTTTTTGACATCGATATACCAGGAAAGATACAGTTCAAAGAATCGGACACACTGACGCCTGGAGATAAGTATACTGTTGTTGATACGGGTAAGGTCTTGCAGGCATTACGACAAGAAAAAAAAAACTCACATTGCTCATTGACGTAGATGTTGGACGAATCGGTGTTGGTATTTGCTATGACATTCGCTTTCCGGAGATGGCAATGACTTACGCAGCACGAGGTACGAAGAAGGCTAGCCAGGTAGCTGCAGTGTATTAAAATTTATGTTGGTACCAGGCGTACATATGATCTGCTATCCGGGAGCTTTCAACATGACTACGGGACCAGCGCATTGGGAACTCCTCCAGAAAGCCAGGTAACTCATTGTTTCTTTCTTGTTGGCTGCGGAATTTACTGGCAACGTTTTTTTTTTTTTTGTTTTTTTTTTTGTTTTTTCAATTTCCAGAGCCGTAGACAATCAGGTAAGTGTTTTTGATGTTTTGTCTTTCTTACTCTTTTTTTTTCTAGCTGTTTGTGGCCACTTGCTCACCAGCCAGAAATCCAAGCGCGGGATATGTTGCATGGGGACACTCCAGTGTCATTGGACCGGTAACATCATGCTGTTTTATCAATGCTTTTCTCAAGCTGTCTGATTTTTTTAGTTCGGAGAAATACTGGCGTCAACAGGACGTGAAGAGGCGATTTTCTATGCAGACATCGACTATGCTCAGATCAAGGAACGCAGGTGCTGTTCTTGTTTCTGGCATAACGGAGGTTTCTCAACCATTTTCTCTTTTCCTTTCCCGTTAGGATGAACATGCCTCTGGACCATCAGCGAAGAGGTGACTTGTATCAGCTCGTCGACTTGACCTTCACAACATGAGCAGTTCCAGCAGTAGGAACAAGAAAAGTGTTCTGGGAAATAGATCGAGTAGTTGTTCTGAGAATATCCTCCCCTTGTCCGGGTGACGTGGGGTTAGTTTAACTGTCGGAAGTGTTCTTACCGCCGCAGCATGGGAGGAGAGCATCAGTGTCCGAGCGGCAGCAGGGTAACAGGTTATCCAGCAACAGGAGTGAGCATGTCCTAGACTCGTGGAGCTTTGCTTGAGGTGGTGGGATGAAGTGAGACGGATGTGGAAGGACTATTGCTCGCGTTTGAAGGAAAGAAGCACCGGTATGGGGGCGCTCAAGAACGACGACGTTCTCTACGACTACATTGCCAGAGCGGTACGTTTCTTATTTAACAAGCTTTCTTATGTTTTCACTCTCTTATGTTTCAGAATCCCAACATTTACTTCCAGCCTCGAGCAGCGAAGCAGATGAAAGTGCCGCAGCCAGTTTTGTTCCCCGGATATCTCTGCCCGCTTGCCACTGAAGAGTTTGAGGAGGAAGAACCCACGCCTTCGCAAACTCAAGTAATTTGGAGTCCTTTGTTCGATGGCACTGAGCTCAAGCGCTTGGGTGGTGGGCTCAAAAGTGAGACGGCTCTTGTACCTGAGCTTCCAGCTGGTTGGAGAACGGCCGAACAAAAATTGCTGGAAATGGGAGCTAGAAACGGGGATTATCTGGGAAATACCGTTAGCAGCTGTTCTAGTAACTCGGAAGAGGAGCCGCCAACGGTTTGGACAAGCGCTCAGTGCTTGCTTCACATGAAGGATTTGACTGATCCGCAAAGTGGGATAGAACAGGAGCAAGCGCCTGGAATCGCTGAGAGCTTTTTAGAGTATAACAGCTGCGAACTAGGTGGGACAGACAAGCTTGACCACGTACCGGAGAACCTTCTCTTGGTCGACGATTACGAAGAGAAGCTCAAAAGCTATCACTCCGAAGTGAGTGTGGAAGAGAGCAGATATCAGACATGTAGTGGCGGGGATGGAAGCGTTTGCAGCGTTCTGAGTGCGGGTATCGGCCGTGGGAAGCTGAACAGCAGGGAGTCATTCAGGGAGGACGTTCTTTTGAGCGAGATCAGTGGAGGGGAGCCGTCCGAGACGAGGTCGTGCTCCACCGCCAACGACGACAGCTCGAGCTCAGTTCGAGGAGCCACTACCGGGCGCTCCAAGCTCCTGACTCCGGACGGCACGAAACAGGTGAAGCACGGAGACAGGAAAGCTAGGCGGGGATATCCTTACACTAGTTTGAAGGAAGAGAAGGTGGCAAAGGAATTTGCACGGCCTCGAATTTGGAACAGCGGGGTTAACAGAGGACCGCTGCAGCAGAAAACGAGAAAGATGGTGGAGCAGACACCAGGGAGAGGCGCAGAGACGACAAACAAGGAACAAAACGCCAAGAATCACAACAAAACCAGCACCACTAGCAGCACCAGAAGGCCGCCCTGGTGCCTGCACAGCGTCAAGAGGAACCTCCACCACCAACATGGAACGCTGTCCGACCACGAAGTGACATCGGCAGGATCCACAACCAACGAAGAGGAGACCAGAGGAGCGGCGATGCTGGCGGATACCGGAGATCAGAACGCCGAATTGATATCGACTTTGGCGGAGATGAACAACCGGGAACTCAGGGTGCTGCAGTGCTCGGCTGCGATTATGCGTCACAACATCGGTGTTCTTCGTGACGACGTCAAGGTTTGCTCTCGCAAGAAGCTTAGATTTCTTTGACATGTTAAACATGCGAATATGTGTGCTCCAGGGATTGCAAGGCTTCTTGGAAGGCAGAAAAGCCCGCTATTCGTGGTGGACGCTCTTCAAAGATTTTGTTGTTGCTGCTGGGCTCGTATCCGGGGCATTTGGTTTACGTACTGTCATCGACATGCTCAAGAGGACAGTTCGATATGGTGAGATTTTGTTTTGGACATATAGTCGGTAGAGCGTAACATCTACCGTATTTTTTTCTTCTTTCAACTCCCTCTCACACTCTTTTCTTCCAGGTGCATTGAACAAGCTAACAAACAAGCAAGAGAAGATGGCCTTGGCAGCCTTCGTTCTCACGGTTGGAGCACGCTTCGGCAAGCAGATATGGCGAGAACAGGTACACATACTGTTTGGATCTCGTAGGATAGATCGTGTAGCTTATGGCTGGATCTTTTCCAGGGAAATGCCAGCTCCCGGCGCGAGATAAAGCTACGGGAGCAACTGTCCAGGATTAACGAGAGGGTGTCTCTCATGTCGGACCTGGCTACCAGCGATCGCCAGCAAACAGTCGCCGCGGCCGCAGCAGAATCCGAGTGAGAAGGAAATCTTCTCAAAGCAGATCCATCCGCGACCGCCAAGTCTTCCAACAAACAAGGACGGCGATGCGGTTTCTTTGAGATACAAGATACAAGTTGGTGGAGGTTTGAAAGGCAAGAGCTTCCCGAGTTTGTGATCGATTATTCTTCTCTACTGTCTGTGTGATGGAGGATCACAATGCCACCACAGATCATGGGTTTGACGATGTTGGTCCTCGTCAAAAGTACGTGCCGATGAACAGATATTTTGCATCCATGATTCTGGTCTGTTAATTCTCTTGACTAACAAAGCACCAGATTCATTGAACAAGCTAAGACGCTTGAGGCAAAGCAGATATGTACACGCAGTCAGCAAGTCGCCTCTAGATCTCAACAGTCTTTCGAGTGGCGCCGTGTTAAGCAAGGATTGTCAGATAGAAACAGAGTGGAACGAACCAAACAGTTGGGTCGTCCCTCCCCGTCCTCCAATGATCAACCTTACATTCCATCGCTAGAAAAGCTGTAAAATAAAAGAGATAAGAAAGGGGATCTTGAGCCTCATCAACGAAGCCAACTTGGTCCACTATGGATACAAAATCTCCACGATTCTGGTACACGCACTCTCTCTCTCTCTCTCTCTGGGCGCTGCGGTGACTATAAAAATGTCTATCTATCTATCCCTCTCGAAAAAAACTGAGCAAAACCTGAAAAACGAGGCAGAAAACAAAGAAACATCACCATTATAACGACCGCGTCTCCCAAGAAGCAAGAACGACGATGATCATCAGGATTCAGGAACCCATTCATTTTCCCTTCTTTCTCTCATTTCCCTCCTTTTCGCCTTTAAAATATTCATCCTCATCATCCTGTAGGCCCTCCTCTATGTCTCTTTCAGCTGCGCTAGTGCGAGGTTGACAACCCAACTGGGACAAATCACAGAGCAGGGAAGAAGATCGCAGCAAAAAAGCCTAAAAAAACATTACAAATTTCCGATTCAAAAGAAAAGAGCATTCGAGTCGAGATCTCAAATCAACCGGCCAGGGAGAGCAGCAAGCAAGCCTGCTGTCTCTGATTCCTGCAAAAGCTGTGGATCCAATCCAATCACCGCAACAACAGCTAGAGTTGTAGAACACCACTTTCTTTAACCCTTTCTCTAAAACCCCTTTAAAACCCTTCTTATCAAAGAAGAGCACTTTTGGCTCGCGTGGTTTCAGCAGCTGGGAAGCCCAAGAAAGGCATCAACAAATCCTCCTCTTCACTTTTCAGTACAGGCCCATTTTTTTTAGGAATGACAACAGAGCATGCCTCTGAACGGCAATGATGATCCACCACCTTCTTTCCCCTTTCGCTGTAGTTGCTTTTCGATAACTTGATTAGATTCAAATCACAAGGAGGCGGGGAAAAGATTCCTGGGTGAAAATGGATAAAAGGTGGCGGACTATATTTAGGGCTTGTTCATGCATGCGTTGTCTTGCTTCCGTCACCTTGAGCGTAGCTGCCTAGCGAGAGATATTTCTTGGACGCGCGGTCAAGCCGGTCCACCTACACGACCGAATTGGGAGGTGCGGAGCGTGAATGGGCAATGAATGTAGGATCATCGCTTCGTTTCGCATCGTCCCACAAGAACCATAGAAAGAAACGAGGAGCTACGTACGCTCCTTGTAGGGTGGCAAGTAGTAAATTCCCGACCCGCAAGTACTTATATACTTGCTCAGCTGCTACTCTATAGATACTAACTCGCGCGCCCCTCTGCGCCTTGATGGAGATGAGCGTAGATTCCACTCGATTCGCCACAGATACCCCCGCTGGAATCATATATCATCACGCGCTATGCTACATTCATTCAATGCGTAGACCCAGACAGGCAGACAAAGAAACAAGGCGAAGACACAGGGAGAGAAATAATCGTTCATACATACGATCAGAGGAGCAAATCTTTACGTTCCGAGAGAAAACTTTCGCAGCCAAGAGAGATTATCTCTGCAAAGCTCCTGGAACACAAAATCTAAGAAAGGAAAAAAGAGTACTTACTGACTGATGGATGAGGAGGTGGTGCTTTCCCTGGCAAAAGCTTTGTGTATGTACACAGCAAACAATCTTCCTTCCCCAAAAGGCTCGTCGATTGTCTCGCCATAGCTTGAACAGCTCGCCTCTGTTTCTTCGCGGCTAACTCGCCCGTGTTATTCGATTCGATTCGTCGTGACTCGAGCCGCTCCAGAGAGAATTGCTGCTGTCGATGCTGCTGCTTCTGGCTTTGCTGTAAGATGATGATAGTGAAGCTGTCGATGGTAACTTTCGATGGCTACAAAACTGGTACGAGTTGGAAAGAGAACCTTTGTCTCAAGCTTTCACGGGCGCTGTCGAGTTTCTGTCAGATCTCGTCCACCATGCTTGAAGTAGAAACGAGAAAACCGGGCCCTGATGGTGGATATATAAGTTAGAGCGGGATCAAGGGCGCCTGATCCCTGCGCTGCCGCTGCCGCTCCTCATGATCCTGATCCTCCCACTGCTGCTGGGATTCCACTGGAGCCTTGATGGACGAGTCCTTGAAGCTCCCACTCTTGCTGCTCTTGGGCAGGCCCCTCACGTCAACGAGCATCTGGACGACGTCTCGCATCGTTGGCCTGTCGGATGGATACTCCTCGCAGCAGATGAGAGCCACCCCGACAAGGCTCGTCACCTCGTGCACTGGCAGCTGCGAGCTCCGCAGCGTTGAGTCAACGATGCTCAGCACGCCATCCTTGGCCTCGTCCATCACCTTCTTAACCCACTTGACAATGCCCAGGCCGCTGTCACGGAACTCCTGCTCTGTCGGCTTGCGGCCGGTGATGAGCTCCAGCAGCACCACGCCGAAGGAGAAGATGTCCGCCTTCTCGCTCACCTTGAGCGTGTATGCATACTCTAAGCAAAACCAAAGAACACGATCAACATAAACAACAGAAAGAAGCGAAGGAAACTAACGCACTTACCAGGAGCAATGTAGCCATACGAGCCGGCAATCGACGACATGGACTCGCACTTCCCGGCCGAGGACGCCTGGAAGAACTTCGCCAGCCCGAAATCCGCGACGTGAGCCTCAAACCCGGAGTCGAGCAAGATGTTGTTCGACTTGACGTCCCTGTGGACGATGAGCGGCGAGCAGTCGTGGTGGAGGTAGCAAAGCCCGAAAGCCGACTGCACAGCAATGTTGTACCGCGTCGTCCAGTCCAGCAAGTTCCTCTTCTTGCTGTGAAGGAGCTCCCCCAAGCTCCCGTTTGGCATGTACTCGTAAACCAGCAAGTTGGTTTCCTCGTTGGAGCAGCATCCCAGCAGCTTGACGATGTTCCGGTGCCGGATCTTCCCGAGCGTCTGGATTTCTGCCGAGAAGCCGTGATCGTGAGAGCCACTGCCTGTCTCATCCGAGGTGGCCTTACACAGCCTCTTCACAGCCACCACCTCTCCATTCGGCATCTCGGCACGATAAACGGTCCCCGACCCGCCCCGACCAATGATGTTGTCCTCGATGAGCGAGTCGAGGACGTGCACGGCATCGAATTCCAGCCGCTGGAACGCCGTCAGCTTCCACCGCCGCCCCGTCGACTCCCGCCTTTGGCAAATGCTCAAGCACTCGATCTGTTCCCCGCCGTTGCCACGGACAAAGCACACCACCCCGACGATGAGGAAGAGCATTGCCGCGGAGAAGATGGACGCCACCACTGCCTTCCACAGCCGGGCTCTGGCGTGGCTGAGAGCCACGCCATCCCCATCCTGAGACGAGGAAGGATCTCCTCCTCCACACTTGAGCGACGCGCACAGCCCCGGGTTGCCGACGAAGGAACTCATGTTGAGCGATCCAAAGTGACCATCGCTGGGGACTGTCCCGGAGAAATCGTTGTATGAGAAGTCCGCCGATGTCAAGCTCTCCTGCCCGAGTATCTGCGGCGGAATGCCTCCGCTGAGACGATTTCTGGAGACGTTAAGCAGCTCCAACACCTCCATCGATCCCAACTCCGCGGGAATGGGACCCGTGAGGCGATTGTCACTCACATCGAGATAGTTGAGCTTGCTGCATTGCGCGAGCTCGGCTGGAATCGCCCCGGAGAGACGGTTGCTGTGGAGATCGAGGTGGAGGAGATGCGAGAGCTGCCCAAGCTCCACGGGGATGCCACCCACGAACCGGTTGCTGTGGAGGAAGAGCTTCTGGAGACTGGGAAGCCGCGCCACCCCGGCAGGAATGGATCCCTGGAGTTCGTTCTGGGAGAGATCGAGGAAGTCGAGCAGCGGCGCGTCCACGATCGCGGGGATCATGCCCGTCAGCCGGTTGTCCAGGAGTTCCAGCATCTCTAGCATCTTTAGTCCCAGCAGCCCCTCCGGTATCGGCCCAGTGAGATGGTTCCCTGCTAGTCTTACCTTGATCAAGCTCTTGCAGTGGCCCAGCGCCGGCGGGATGGTTCCAGTGATCCCATTCTCGATCAGCACCAGCACCTCGAGCTGCCCACCTTTGCAAAGATTTGGAGGCAGCGGCCCCGTCAGAGGATTCGACGAGACGTCCAGCTCCGTGAGGTTCATGTTCTCGCCGAGGCGCTGAGGGAGCTCACCGGTGAAGTTGTTCGTCCATAGCAGCAGAGCTTGCAAGTTGGGAAGATCGGCGACGAAGGCCGGGATCTCCCCCGACAGCCCATTGAGGAACAAGCTCAGGAGCTCCAAATTCTGGAGCTTGCGCAGCTCGATCGGTATCGCTCCAGTGAGATTGTTGTTCGAGAGATCCAGCGACTTCAAGTTGACGAGATCCCCGAGCTGGGGAGGGATCGGACCGCTGAGATGGTTTATCTGGAGGAAGAGCGAGTCCAAGTTGGAGAGATTCCCGAGCTCCGCCGGGATCACGCCCTCGAGGCCGCAGCTAGCAATGTCGAGCTTCTGGAGATTGAGAAGCCGGCCCAGCTCGGGAGGGATTCCTCCGGTGAAGTGATTGAAGTAGCCGAGGTAGAGCTCCTCGAGGCCGACGAGGTAGCCGAGCTCGGGAGGGATCGGGCCAACAAGGCAGTTGCCGCACAGCGCCAGGTAGCTCAAGCTCGTCATGTTGCCATAGCTGGGAGGGATCTCTCCCTCGAAGTAGCTCCCGCCCAGGTGAAGGTGGCGGAGATTGGGCAGCCGCGAGAGCTCGATCGGCAGAGGCCCGGAGAAATTGTTGTTGTAAGCATCCAGTACCTCGAGGAGCTGGAGATTAGAGAAGCGCCCCGGGAAATCCCCCGTGAAGGCGTTGTGGGAGACGTTGAGGAAGTGGAGGTCGTGCAGCGTGGCGAGCTCACCCGGGAGATTCCCTGTGAAGTTATTGACATCTAGCGTGAGATTGATGAGCTCGGTGAGGCGGCCGATGGAGGAAGAGACGATGCCGGAGAGATTCTTGTTGGAGAGGTCGAGCGCCACGACGCGGGAGAGGCGATCGTCGCAGGTGATGCCCGTCCACAGGCACGGCGTGTCGTCGGTCTCGGTCCAGTCGTCGAGGCTGCCGGAGCTGTCGATCATCGACGCCTTGAGCGCCAGGAGCGCGGATTTATCCTGGAATCCGCGCGCGGCGCTCGGCGATGCAGCAAGCAGCAACAAGATCGACAGCGCGACGCTCCAATCCATCGAAATCCGGGCGCTAGACAGCAAAAAGAATCTACCTCTCGCTGGATGGAGGGAGAAGAGAAAGATCAAGAAGGCGCCATTCCTCACGCCCGATCGCCATTCCCAAGCTCGCTCTCTCAAGATCGGGAAAGGGAGAAAGAAGAGAGAATGCGCGAACGCGTCTCGATCGATCGGGCCCTGGCGCGATCGATGACACGAGCACGAGAGCGCCGTGAGCTCGCGGCAGGCAAGAATCCAAAAACCCTATAGAAACCCTTGGAATGACCCTGGGCGTGTCGTCTCGCTCGCTGACCTGACCAAAAACCGAAGAGCGCGCCGTACTTAACGGAGCTGTCAAGCAAACCGACTGTACGCTCGATTCGTACGGAAGTCAATATCTTAATCGAATATTCTTCCTCGTCACTCAACAAATGATGCCTAGAGATTCGACCAGAGATTTCTAGGGTTCGTGTGAAACCTCGCAAACAAGGTCGGTGTCTCGATCGAGAGTTTGGGATTTTGATTGATAGAAGATGTGGGGGAAAGAATAGGAAAATGCGATGTGGTGCGAGAATTAAATGGTGTGATTGATGCTACTACTACTACCGGCGATCATTTCTGCCCTGCCTCGGAAAAAACAGGCGTTTGTTAGCGCCGGGCGAGTGTAACCGCGGCCCGTTAATTCCAAGAAGCGTCGCAGGAATTAAACACCAGTTTAGGTTTAGTCCCGCGGGGTTAACGGCCTGCTGACGGCTGCCCTAGCGCCACGTGAGCGTTTTTCCCGTACATGTCATAGGTGGCTAGACATTCCATGGTGTCAGGGGCATGAGATGACATGACGTGCCAGAGAGAGTGCGCGAGCGTGAGCGCCAAAATACCCTTCTCTTTTTTTAATTCCTTTTAAGGGGGGCTTTTGCACGGAGCATTTGGCTGGCTGGAATCGAAACCGGGGAGAGCTGGCCAGTGCCGGGCTCTAGACACAAGGCTCTCAATCTCCACGAAAACTATACAAAACGCCTGCCCTACACACAACCAAAGGTGGCGATAAGAGAAATTTAATCTTCCCAGCGTTGGACGGGATGAAAGCTGATATGGTTTGTATAAACCATGAGAAAGCATTCCAAAAACAAGGTGGGCCACATTGTTTGAGTGACGTTGCTATTATAGTTTTGTCCTGACCGAGAATATAAGTGATGTTATTGTCAAACTATGCCCAGATCATTGTCCCCTGCGAGAAGCCCAGCTTCATTCATTAGGTTTCGAATTCCGTGATTATGCGCTGGTATATTCCTGCCACGCGTCATACCACGTGGCAGAGGGATTAGGGCTAGGGATCCCCTGTTTTTTACACGAAAGATTTTTAGCTTCTCTTCACTGGATCGAATGTAGCCACGCCCAGCACCGCCACGACGAGCGCGCCGAGAACTCCGAATCCTGCCGCCACGCTCAGCAGCAAATTCTTGAGCGATGGCGTGATCGCGGCCTCGGCAAACTCTGGAATCACCGCGCTCGCCGCCAGCGCCAGCGCCGTTAGCTGAGCCACGGGAATGCTTCCTTGCTCTTCCCTATCGCTCTTCTTGGCGCTGAAAGACCAAATTCGAACAAGAGGAACACGAATTTCGGTCTAGAATCGATATAGAATCCCTCCCTTACCTCATCACAACACGGCTCCGCGACGATGCGACGATCTTCCTCCCCGAACTCCTCGCCGGGGCCAATGCCAACCCCTGCCGCGCCAATCCATCGCATTGCGGCAATGCTGCCACATTCAAGGAGCTCAAGCTCATCATCGCTGCTGCCATGGATTGTGGCTGCTTGGCTCCTCTAGGAATTAGGGATTGTTTCACAAGACCTAGAGCTATGGAAGCCTGTCCCCAGCCAACGAGAGATCTCCACGTCAGCACACAAGATAAGGTGCCCGAGCCAACCACACGCATATGATAAGCAGATAAATGGCGCCGCGCGCTCTTTCAAACATTTCAACGGCCAGGATGCGTTCTAGTTGTACACCATGTATTTTGGAGTAGCGCTAAACTTTTGGTAGCCTTTGATCACTTTGTTCACGGCCTCGAGGAAATCTTTCTCCGTCACTGTTTTCCTGCGAGCTCGGATCGCGTACATGCCGGCTTCAGTGCAAACGCTCCTGATATCAGCGCCTAAAGATTCAAGCAAACCAAAGCGTGGTTACCGAGAGAGGAGAGAAAACCATCTACCGTATAAGCACGAGAACTTACCGGTCGAGTTTGGGCATAAGCGAGCTAGCAACTCGAATCGGATGTCGCGCTCGCAGTTCATGGTTCTGGTGTGGATCTTGAAGATCTGAGTTCTGCTGTCGAGGTCTGGGAGTCCGAACTCCACCTTGCGATCGAGGCGTCCGGGACGGAGGAGTGCCGGGTCCAGAGTGTCAGGCCTGTTTGGAGTAATGTAAGTTTGATTGGAAAAGACTTAGATGAAGTCGGCAGTACCTGTTCGTGGCCATCAAAACTTTAATGTTCCCACGAGCATCAAAACCATCCAGCTGATTGACAATCTCGAGCATCGTCCTTTGCACTTCGTTGTCGCCACCAATGCCGTCGTCGAATCTGGCACCACCAATGGCATCGACTTCGTCAAAGAAAACAATGCAAGCTTTCTTTGATCGGGCCATCTGAAAGAAAAAGAGAAAGGGAAAAAAAAAACTTTTAAGACCACTGCCAGGAATAAACACAGAATGTAACATACCTGGAATAACTCGCGCACCATTCGAGCTCCTTCACCAACGTACTTCTGGACGAGCTCGCTGCCAATAACTCGAATGAAGCAGGCATCTGTACGATTGGCCACTGCACGAGCGAGTAGCGTTTTCCCAGTTCCCGGAGGGCCGTAGCAAAGAACTCCTTTGGGAGGATCGATTCCAAGCTTGATAAACTTTTCAGGGTGGAGCATAGGAAGCTCTACAACCTATATGCGTAAAAGTTAAGATCGTCGACGAGAAAACCAAATGTAAAATGGTGTAGTTACCTCCCGCATTTTCTCGATTTGCTCCTTGCAACCGCCGATGTCATTGTAAGTTACATCGGGCTTCTCCTCCACCGTCATCATAGTGACGCTCGGATCAATCTTAGGGGGCAAAGGTATTTGGATCTGATATTTGTTCCTATCAACACTGTAATAGAACACACAGAAATGTCATTTACATCGAGAACATAAGAAAAAAACCATACCCGACGCGCATTCCCTCCTCGATATCTGTGGGAGACACCTTATCTCCAAGACCCACGACAAACTATCACCAAAGAGATTGTGAGAATCCTACTCTTGAATCGAAAAAGTTATATACTTTTGCTATTTGTTTCACGTTGATCACGTACTTTGAATCGTCCGCGCCTGGATTGATGATCTTGGTGCAACGAGCAACCTACCAAAACCAAAACATGAGAAAAGCAATAGATCGAAGAAAAAAATCTCCCTTACTTGCAGTGGCTGCTCTTCTTGCATCATTTGCTTATCAGACACCAGATCCCACTGGCTAGGAGCTGCTAGACCAGTGTCGGACTCCTTGATCCCTGGAAAAGCACGCTCAAAAAAGCCCAGCAAGATCGCAACGCACCGCATAGATCGTTCACTTTTTTCGCGAGTTCCTTGATCTCCTTCTCGACCTTTTTCGTGGAGGTAGCGTAGGGGCCAAGACCCTAGAAACGCAGCGCAAATCACACACAAGAACGAGCTAGAAACGAAAAAAGCCACGAATCTTACATAAGTCTTGAGCAGCGCGATGTCGTCCTCGTCGAGCGGCGGGGGATTCTTTTCCTTGAGGATATCATCGTCGATGTCTGCCGCTGGCGCCATGGCGTGAAGAGAAGAGAAGAACCCTAAAACATAGAAAAGCCCTAAAAGTTCTTTGGCACTAGAGCTCTTTTATTTTTCGATCCTCTTTAATTTTACAAAAGAAGGTTCCTCTTATTCATTTACTTTGTCGTGTTAGTAGACTCGTGCCTTTGGAGGGAATGGCTCCACTTCTTTGTCTAGAGTGTTCATATGGACTGGACGATAATCAAGCCTCACTTTCCCATCCTCCCAGAACCTGCGAGAACAATCCGGAAGTTTAGCCGATTGGACAATCGTGAAAACGCAATAGTGATTCTCACCCCAGTGTGTGCTTCATCCAGTTTTCATCGTCTCGTTTCTGGAATCGCGAAAGTTAAAAGTTACGAGCAAGAGCTTGGCAGCGTAGTGAGATACTTACCGCAAAATCTTCACGGGCGTGCGCTCCACGGCTCTCTTTTCTCGCTTCCGCGGATTGCATTGTGATCACTGCGTTGATGAGCAAGTTTTCTAGCTCGATCGTCTCGATGAGGTCAGAGTTCCTGCGCAAACCGAACAAGGTAAGGAGGAGAGCTTGGCAGGAATTAATGTACCATATCAAGCTCCTGTCCGATGTCTTAACTCGAGAGAAGCTATCCCATATTTCGTTGATAAGCTTGCATCCTGTGTGCTCGATCAATACAAGGGAAATTTAAGAAGATGTGCTTACCTTCTTCGAGAGTTTCCTGTGTACGGAAGACGGCAGCGTTGTTTTGCATGACTCTTTGCATCGAAAGCCTGATGCTGGCGGTGGGTAAATCTCCATTTGCATATCTCAGCTTGTTCAGCCAGGCAATGGTCCCTTCTCCGGCGTTCTTTGGCAATGGCTTTTGCTTGTCGCCTGATAAACAAGAGAATAGTAATCCTGAAACGCAATGGTATTTGCAAGATGTCTCACCAGGTTTGTAAATCTCGGCCATCGTGTTGGCACACGCACGACCAAAAACCACAATGTCCAAGAGTGAATTTGCTCCCAAACGATTGGCACCATGAACGGATGCGCACGCTGCTTCTCCAGCAGCCATCAACCCTGGAATGAGACAGTCGGGATCTCCATCTTTCGTCGTAACACCCTGCATACCGATGGTGAGAGAAGATAATAAAACATTCCAACATCAAAGCCACACCTCTCCACGGTAGTTAGTTGGTATCCCTCCCATGTTGTAGTGGACCGTCGGTAGCACGGGGATCGGTTCCTTAGTAACATCAACACCAGCGAAGATTGCTGCTGTTTCTGATATTCCTGGGAGCCTTTCTTTCAGCACTTCCGGAGGTAAATGATTTAAGTGAAGATATATGTGATCCTTCAAAGGCCCTAGGAACAAGGTAAAACATCAGTTGCCAAACCAGACAAGAAAAAACAGCTCTACAGACCTACTCCACGGCCTTCGCGAATCTCCATTGTCATGGATCTAGACACGACATCTCTCGAAGCTAAGTCTTTCGCAGTGGGAGCATATCTTTCCATAAAACGTTCTCCTTCGCTGTTTCGCAAAATGCCACCTTCACCACGCGACCCTGACACCAATAGCATAGTGACTTGAGGGTACAAATAAATGAGATAGCAAACCTTCCGTTATAAGACAACCAGCACCATATATACCAGTCGGATGAAATTGCACGAACTCCAAGTCCTGTAAAGTTTTTAGAACAAGTGCGAGTGATGAAAAACAGGATAAGCCAAGAACCTCCAGAGGAAGACCAGCACGAGCCACCATAGCATTCCCGTCCCCGGTACACGTATGAGCTGAGGTTGCTGAAAAGTAAGCCCTTCCATAACCCTGCGTACAACTCAATAAGGATGGTCTTGATTCCTGAGAACAACGTACCCCGGTCGCTAGAATCGTCGAAAGAGCACGGAAACGATGCAAAGTCCCATCCTCCATGTTAAGTGCCATAACACCTCGACATGCACCTGGCAAAATCATTCACGATCAGCCGTTAAGTTTGACGAAATGGATATATGTCCTTACCCTCGTCGTCCATTATGAGATCTAAAGCAAAATACTCGACAAAAAACTGTGTGTTGTGTTTCATGGCCTGGCCGTAGAGAGTGTGCAGTAGCGCATGACCCGTTCGATCGGCAGCACACGCACAACGATATGCCTGACCCCCTGGAAGGCAGACTTAGCTACCAACGAAGACAGAGAGGAAGAATGGATCGTACCTTTGCCGAAATTCAGGCTCTGTCCACCAAAAGCTCTTTGGTAGATTTTACCTTCTTCTGTTCTTGAAAAAGGCAAACCATAATTCTCGAGCTCAATGACGGCAGCAGGAGCTTCTCGACACATATACTGAATAGCATCCTGATCACCTAAACGTAAGAGAGAAAATTTTCAGTAGAAGCGGACAAAAAGCATTGTAACCATACCAAGCCAGTCACTTCCTTTGACAGTATCATACATATGCCATCTCCAATCATCCTCGGTCATATTTCCCAACGCTGCATTGATTCCTCCCTTAAAGAAATCACATTCAAATCAACGAAAAGAGTGAAGGCAAAAAATAAGGGGAAAAAATCTACCTGTGCTGCCACAGTATGAGATCTAGTAGGAAAGAGCTTTGTGATGCAAGCCGTGTTGAATCCATGCTCCGAGAGACCGATGGCCGCTCGCAACCCAGCCCCGCCGGCGCCGACGACGACGGCATCGTATGTGTGATCCACGATGGGGTACGCGGCGCCGGTAGCCTGATCAACCAAAATATTGCGAGATCGATCGAAATTTCCAGCTCAATCGATCGCATTCGACACTCACCGATGGCGCCCCATTGCTGAGGACTCGCGAAGCGCTGGAGTAGAGCCTCCGCTGGTGCTGCTCGCGGAGGGCGGCCCTCGCTAGCCGCAGCATCGTCTTGCCACGGCTCCAAAGAACCCTAAAAAGACCTTTTTATGGAGATTAAAATCCACTGTGTGTGTAAAGTCCTTGTATCGTGGCGCGAGGAAGGAGAAGGAGAAATATCGAGCTCTAGCTAGCCCTAAAATGCGAAGCGTGGCGAGCCCTCGCATTGTTGGGTCGATTGGGGCGTTTGATCGCTGGAATTCAGCTGGAATCGCGGCGCAGAGGCCCGCATTTGTGGCCAGCGGCTGGAATAGGCGGCGAATCATGGGCGCCTCGCAGTCGTCGAGGGATTCATCCGGCGGGCCTTCGGTCAGCGCAGGTAGAAATCTTTGATCACTTTTCCATGCGAGGAGTCGTGAGAAATCTCTTTCTCCAGAGGGAGCGGAATTTAAATCCGTGAGCGACACGGAGTGGAAGGAAAAGCTCACGGACGAGCAGTTCTACGTCACGAGGCAAAAGGGGACCGAAAGAGCTTTCAGCGGGTAAGAAAGCATTTTTAGAACATAGAACATAGAAACTCTGGCGAGAACGAGATCTATCTAAGCGATCATCCATCCGATCGAACAGGAAGTACTGGAACACCAAGACTGCTGGGATCTACGAGTGCATTTGCTGCGGAACACCACTCTTCAAGTAAGTTTCCTTGCTTGGATTTGTTTCCCTTTCTGCTCTTCTGGTTGCTTGCTTTGTTGGCTGTCAGTGGTTTCTTTTCAACTTTAGATCCATAGCTGAGTTTTCTCGAGTTTTGTTCTTCCAGCTCCATCACCAAATTCGACAGTGGCACGGGGTGGCCCTCGTACTACGAGGCGATTGGAAACAATGTCAAGAGCGAGAGCGACTGGTCCATCCCGTTCATGCCTCGCACCGAAGTCAAGTGTTCCAAGTGTGATGCTCACTTGGGGCACGTCTTTGACGACGGCCCTCCTCCCACTGGAAAACGCTATTGCATCAACAGGTGACTTTCACTCCCAACTAAAAGAGCTTCCTTTTCTCATGTCTTTCGTGGTCGTGTTGCAGCGCTTCGCTCAACTTGAAACCGAGCTGATGGATATTATGTTCAATAGTAATAAAATATTTGAAGAATATTCTTTAAGTTTGACTATAATACTATTGTCTAGCTTAAATTTGCAGATGTTTTGCAAAGCCTGTGTTTTGTGTTTGAGAACATTCTGTATTGAATTTTATTCATGATATTATAATCTTAAACCTTTTCTTACTACATTTCTTTTTTACCTTTTTATTTTTTTCTGGTTGTTTCATTACAATTCTGGTGGCTGTTCCAACCAACTTCTCCTGTTATCAAAAGCATCTCATTGCGGCAGTCGCAAGAAGTTCAGCCTTCGGATCACGTTCAGCAAGAGAAACCACCCGCACTATATTTGATTGACTGGGAAGCTTATGAACAGCAAAAGTTCCCAGCAACAGAAGGCTGTCTCCGTCTGGAGTGAGTTGAATTCCAAACTCCGCTTGCTGCTGCGAAAATAATGTAAGCCAAATAGAAAGAAACACTGAACAAACGTTCAGAGAGTCTGCTCCAAAATTTTCGTAAGAATGCAGTGAAAAGGACTGTAGCAACGTTGCCTCCGATACCAAGTTGTTGTCAAGGGAAATACAGTTGTACACCGTGCTTCCCCAGAGGACCACAAGAGACGCAGATATCCACCTCCTGACTCCTTGCGTTGAGTGCCACGCAAAGAACTGAAAGTTCGTGCTCAAACGCAGCGACGGGTTTTAGCATGTCCGAGCTAGTAAGCCGCTTGCTGATGGAACTAAAGCTAGTAAATACTCTCGACTGCTTGTCCAAATCGGTGGCTACGAGATCCTTTTGATCAGCTTCCGGCACTTTGGTCCACGTATCCGTAGTAGATACTTCTTGTTCGTTGATGGAACCAGACTTGTGGCCTGAAGCATTGTTGGAAGCATGCTTTTCCTGTTCGGTCGAAGTGTTTTCTCTTCGACTGTCCGCCACGTATGCTGGATTTCTAGATCAAGTAGCTCCACATCTCCCAGAATCTGGCACGTTTCTAGCCTTTCAAGTGTATCCGAACCAGTGTACCGCTTGTTGTCCAAATTATGGAGTGATCATCCAAAGCATTGCCTGCGGCGATCGTCAAATTCTTGTCGACAGTCTCAAGTTGCTTTACCAAGAGCTGGCTGGGCTGCACCGTGACATGTTCAAGCTCATTCGGGCTAGTCAGCTTGTACGTCGATGAAACCAGCGCCTCTGTGAAAGGTATTGACTTCGGGTATAAAGCATTGTTGGGAACTTGTTCGGCCGAAGTGTTCCTTATCGCTGCGTCAAGTGACTTGACATGTCCATCCTGGAACTTTTCGTCAGCAGAAGGCTCCGCTGGTAGCCTTTCAAGAGTATCCGAGATAGTGTACCGCTTGTTCTCCGAATCAGCACAATGGTCGTCCAAAGCATTGGCTGCTGTGATCGTCGAATCCTTTTGTACAGCCTCAAAGAGCTGGCTGGGCTGCGTCCTGACTTGTTCAAGCGCAAGCTTATTGACGATGACTATGGGTGACGAGGACTCGATTAAGTTTCCGCCAACACATTGTGTGTGCTCGTCGATATTCTTTGTTTGCTGAGATGTTTCGGCGTTGTCAACTTGGTTGATAGGCTCTTCAGCAATGGACTCCTCTCCAGCTTGACGCTCAACTGCGGTGGTAAGCTGCTTGTCGACGCTATGTCCAAGGGCAGTAGGTGCTTTTCGTTGGTTGTTAAAGATATTTGTTGTCATAGCCATCGTGTCACCTCCGTCGATCGGGTCTTTGGCTACAGAGGTCTCCAATGTGGTATTACCCATCCCAAAGCCTATAGGACTTTCCGCCACATCAACCATCGAGTAACTATCCTGCGAGAATTTTTTTCACGATCACATCCCCACCAGTGCTAGAAAACTTCCTTTTTACTCCGCAATGCCTCCTCCTGTGTGGCATTGCTGTTAAGATCTCCCCACTACCACAATGCTTGACGATCCAGGGATGTGCAAGCACAGCATCTAGAGTCACCCTCTTGCTCTGCTCCACAGCTAGCATTCCCTGGATGAGATCCTCTGCTTCACATGATGCCAAATCACTCGGGAATGCTCCGGCTCTCAAAAAATCAAATTCGACTCTCGATCGATACCCACTCAGCAGCTCGTACGCAATGACTCCCAGCCCCCACACGTCCACGGCCGCCGTGTAACTCGCTCGTGGTCCTCGGGCTCCATCACTCTTCACCGCTACCACCTCGGGTGCCATGTACTTTGCTGTTCCACAATACTGCCGCATATCCCACTGCTTGTCCGTGGCCATGCCAAAATCTCCAATCACCACTTCGTCCACTGCAGTGGCGTTGAGCCTCTCAAAGATGTTGTGAGGCTTGAGATCGCGGTGGACGACCCCTCTCGAGTGCATCCACTTGAGTGTCTCTGCTAGCGTTTTAATAGTCTTGGCTGCTTCTTCCTCAGTCACTGCCCCTCCATGGATCAATCGCTCTGCCAAGCTAGGGCCGCAAAGCTCCATCACGATGGTCCCATAGCACCTCCCGCCCTCTCTCTCCCTCACAAAATCCTCAAAGGCGACGACTCCAGGGCAGACGCGAAGCTTAGACATGAGCCGAGCTTCGTTCTCGCCATTCCTCATCGATTCAACCAATTTCCCCGCATACTTCTTGCCAGCCCTGCGACGAGCACTCAACAAATAGACCTGCCCTTCGCCGCCAGATCCCAGCTTCTCACCCCGCCTGTACAGCTTGAGGAGCTCACCACAGTCGTCCTCCCCAAACTCGCACGCCACCATCGCTCGCCAATTTTTTGACCTAGCTTCTCGCTAACGGGTACAAATCGACGGCTGGAATCGCGTTTAATCGACGGTGACGATCTTGTGAAAGACGGAAGCCCTAACCTGAATTTATTTCAAAACATTAGTCTGGATATACGCATGCATCCTGTGTTTTACACGCTCTGTTGTGCCGCAGTGGCTCCTGCCGGATCAACCGCCCTCAAAGCACCACCAGCGCTATCAGAGCATTCACAAGGGACCAGCGGGATCACGACCATGTCTCCAATCAAAGGCCTGTACCTTGGCTCCGACTGGACGCATAGAACAGCAACAGAAGCGACCTAAAGAGGAAGAGGAAGCGCACTTACTTGGAAGAGTTGCTTCAAGTTGACAATATCCTTGATTGCAGCATCCACAATGAGGGTAAACCTGGTGCGGTCGCTCAGTTTCGGTGTCCTCTTGAGCATGTCGATGACGGTACGCAAATCAAATGCCCCGGATACGAGCCCAGCAGCAACGACAAAATATTTGAAGAGCGTCCACCACGAATTAGCCCGCTTTTCTGCCTTCCAGGCAGCCTTGCAATTCCTGGAGCACACACATTCTCACGTCTAACATGTCAAACAAATTAAAGCTTCTTGCAATAGCAAACCTTGACACCGTCACAAAGAACAAACATCTTCGTCAGTGAGCAATGTGAGTTATTTTGCTTGTCGTAATGCCTGTAGGACCTTACCCGAATCAACAACAGTATACTTATGGCCAGGCCCCAGTGTGTCCGATTCTTTGAGCTGTATGGTATATCGATGTCAAAAAAAGTGAACCTGGTGTGAAAGAGGGCTGAGAAAAAACCGTAGACAACGCGTCAGAAAAGCAAACCTTCCGATGTTTACCTTTTATTAGAGAGCCATCTTTCCCGTAGATGCAGCAAGTATTGTAGAGATGATCGCCACGTCATTCCGCTATGGAGCCACCGATTATGGTAACCTCCTTACTCTTTGCCATGTCCGAAAGCATTTTGGAAGAGGGAGAATCGCCTGCATAGATTGGAAAGCTCGCGTTTGAGTATGGACAATTCCCCATTTCCTGTAAGACATTCTCCTTATGACTGAACAGAGAACTACAAAACTTAACTAGAAGAAGGATCAGCTTGCTGCCGCCATCAGCAGCCGTCTGGATAGCTTCACGAGCATGCCTGATGTTCTGTTCCTTGTCTGCGTAAATCGAAAGATGACAAACGGCGAGCTTGAACTGCCAGAAAAACGAAAATAATGTGCAGATGGCACTAAAACTTCCACTCACCTTGCTCCTGCACGCGCGGTGGTCACAACTCAAAACATCCCCGTTGGATCTCGTCCTGCAATCCAAGGAACCTCTTAAAACAAAACGAAGTGGCTATATAGCAACCACATTACCTGTGGCCATGGTAACCTTGCCACCTTGTCGGGAATCCCTACTCTATCCGAATTGCCGCTTCCATGTACAACAAAAGCACCACCACAACCAAGTAGCACTTTGCTCTCGTCTTAAGCCATCCCCGAGTTCAGTCCAGACGGTCGACCAAAACTGAGAATGGAGCATCTCAATCTGCTGATAACGTTTCTCCTCCAGAGGTTGACGTTGTGTTGGAGCAGGCCATGCTAGTCTCCCGGGAGCACGACGCTTGCACAAAGAAGGCGTCACATTCTAGCTGCTTGAAGCGTCCGATGGAGTTGGAGATCGAGTGAGAAGTGACACCGTCCAAGGCTACGTCCCGGACAGGGGCTTCCAGATCTTCATATCCGCATATCCGGAGGCTGCAGAAGTTCTCGCCTACCATGCGCTGGAGCTCAAGAACTTTTATGCTGGAGCCTTTGTCTGGTTTGACGTATGGTTTCACTAAGTTGCAGACCTGGTTACTGTCGCTTGGTAATCCGATTGGTACTGTCCTGGACAAAATCGTCGTTGGCATTGTCACGCTTCAAGCAGCATCACAACCATTTGAGAAACTTCTCTCAGCACCTGAAGTAGAGATCGTAGAAAAGTTGAAGACCGACAGCTTTTCCTTTTCTCTTTTAAGCCTAATCACCATACTCCAGCTATTCAAGCCAAATTACGTTGCTTACAACTTTCAACTCACTATTCATACCACTCACCACTCATACTATGCCCACACTGTTTGTAGCTTGCCACTCATCTCGCTCATGCTGCTTACAATAGATAGATCGAAACTCATAGCTTGCATATAGTCATTGTAAACTTAGCATAAGGGATAATATAGAAGATGACATGTATCAAAAGGAATATTCTCACAAGACATTTAGTTTGCATTTGAGCTGTAGGACCTTTCAAGTGGTTCATAGCTTCACTAGTAAATTAGCTAAAAAAGAGAGAGAGAAGGTTTTGGATCCACCTAATGTGTGAGATTGTGGATGGCAAGAACACTGGGAATCTTTGTACAAAGAGTGAATCAAGATTGCCAAATGAAAACACATTCATGCAATGCTTGAGAAAATAGATTAAAAAACACTCATATACTAAAAAAATTTAGGACTTCATCCCCAGCATCACCTAGAATGCTGCAACACTTAATTGCATTGCAACCAATTAATCAATATGAAAGACCCAGCTTGTCTCTAATATCATTCAAGGGTATTTCTAATCAGTCACATATGCTGCATAATAATCTTTATAGTCAAGTATGATGGGAAGTTCATCCTGTTCTATAATCATATTAGACATATAAAGAAATGCATTAGTGTACATGAGTAACAATTATCTTCAATGTTTCTTGTTGAACTCTAACTTTTGATTAGGATCCATACTAATGTTTAAGGAAAAAATATCTAGAAATAAATATTGTGAGTGCATGGAATATAAAAAGGGAATATAGAAATGTGCATATCAATTAGCCCAAAAACCCTAGCTTATATACATGAGCGAGTGATCCGGATTAAAACCAATCCGACGGCTACCAAAATCCCATTACGCTAATATTAGTATACGGCATTGTAGCCGTACACTTAGCCTTTACATCATCCCCTCCTCTCGGAATAATGAAAGACCATCAGGGTTCTCTTGTAGATGGGCCAGGATCTGGAGGAACATTAGGAGGAGGCAATGGCAAATCTATACATGGTATTAACCGCTCTTGATCCCTTTGTATGAAGCGCTGCACATGCACAATCGCTAAAGGATTGGCCTGCTAGATGTCATGCCGAACCTCATAAACTTGTGGTCCAACTTGCCGCAACACCCGATACGGTTCTTTCCACTGTGCAAGGAGCCCCTTAGATAAACCATGTGCCGTAAGATGGGGAAAACAGACTAACACAAAATCATCCACTTTGTACTCTGTAGGTGGATGATGATGGGAGTTGTAGAGCCATTGTTGTCCCACTTGTATGTGGCCTAAGTGTTCGGCAGACTCTGCTCGGACAAGTGGAAGAATGCTTGTCAAATATTGATGACCTAGCCTCTGCAACTCGTGGCAATCGCGAAGGTAAACCCAGCTCCGTTGGTAATATTGGATCATAACCATATAGGAGTTTATATGGTGAAGCACCAATAGAACTCTACACCCCAGTGACATATGCATACCGAAAAGACGGCAAATAACCATCCCAATCTGAATGCTGAAAGTTCACATACTTCGCAATCATCCCCTTGAACGTCCGAACGAGCCGTTCCACTAGACCGTCTGATTGTGGATGATAAGCACTCGTGAAAGTGTGGCAAATCCCCAACCGAGACGTCAAAACATGAAATGCCTCAACCATAAATGCGGGACCATTATCTGAAAGAATTCGCTTTGGACAAGAATGCTGGAACACCACTCGATTGAGGAGGAATTATCCAACAGCAGTTGCAGAGGCGCTAGCAAAAGCACTAACTTCCACCTAACGAGTCAAATAGTTAGAAGCAATAATAATATACTCATTGCCAGCAGTCGACTGTGGAAAAGGTCTCATAAGATCAAATGCCACCAACTCAAACGGACAGGAAAACTGCAATTGACTCCAACCGTCCTTCCATAGCCCAAGGGGGAGTATTACGAGCTTGGCACCAAACGCAGCTATGCACATATCGGATAATATCACGTCGCATCTCCGGCCAATAAAAAGACCTGCGTAGCTTCTCAATTACACGACAATGTCCCATATGCCCACCTAGAATAGGAGAATCATGGTAAGCATGAAGAAACTGTGGAATAAAGATAGAAGGCACCACCAGTCATAAATGATCATCAGGATCTGTCCCCACAAAATAAAGAAGGCCATCTTCAAAATGATATTGAGAATGTAAATGCCGGAAAGACAAGTCATCAGCAAGTGATGTAGAATTCTCAAACCCATCTCGAAGCCTTCGAATCCAAGGCTCAATCTTTTAAGCCTCGTGAACTTCATCAAACAAAGGTAGATCTTGCTCTGCACCTTGTGGACACTAAATGTCGGCCATCGGTACTTGCCAGTACCCAGAAGCAAGATCTAGCTTGGTGAACTAATGACTTCGCCCCAGATGATCCAAGAGATCAGCAGTGTGAGGAAGAGGGTACACATTCGGGATTGTTACGTCATTTAACGAACGATAGTCGATGCAAAAATGAATACTCCTATCAAGCTTCGTCACAAGATGAGGTTCACATGCCCAAGGACTCTGCGACTTCCGAATAACACCCTTCTCCAACATCTCCTTGACATTTGCATGTAAAATCTTGATCTCCTGTGGTGACCGACGACAAATAGGAACCTTCATTGGACGAGCATCCCCAGTTGGAATCGGATGACGTGTGGCAATCTTGGCTCCAGACGATAGGTCAAAGTCAAAGAGATTAGAATATTCCTTCATAAGCCGATCAACTACTGCAACACAAAGATCGTCGGAGGGATCGGAAAAGGGAAGAGCAGAACAAGATGGAAACATAGGAGGAAATAGTGGGGAAACAAAAGTAATGGAAGCAGAGGTAGAAGTAGAGGGATGAAGAGGTATGGAAGTGAGAGGAATGGATGAAACATAAGGAAGTATGAGACAAGGGGGAG